GACACTTCTCCAAGGAGGACATACAGAAGATCCAGAAACATGAAAAGATGCTCAGTATCACTAGCTATCAGAGAGATGCAAATTAAACCCACAATGAGATACCACTTCACACCAGTCAGAATGGCCATCATAAACAAAACAAAAAACAGCAAGTGTTGGAGAGGTTGTGGAGAAAAGGGAACCCTAGTAAACTGTTGGTGGGATTGCAGACTGGTGCAACCACTATGGAAAACAGTATGGAATTTCCTCAGGAAACTAAAAATGGATCTGCCTTTTGACCCAATAATTCCACTGCTAGGATTATACCCTAAGAACCCTGAAACACCAATCCAAAAGAACCTATGCACCCCAATGTTCATAACAGCACAATTTACAATAGCCAAGTGCTGGAAACAACCTAGGTGCCCATCAGTAAATGAATGAATGAAAAAACTATGGTATATTTACACAATGGAATTCTATGCAGCAGAAAGAAAGAAGGAGCTCCTACCCTTTGCAAAAGCATAGATGGAACTGGAAAGAATTATGCTAAGTGAAATAAGCCAGGCAGTGAAAGACAAATACCACATGATCTCACCTTTAACTGGAACTTAATCAAGAAAACGAACAAACAAGCAAAATATAACCAAAGACATTGAGATTAAGAACAAACTGACAGTAACCAGAAGGGAGAGAAAAGGGGATAATGGGGGGGGGAGGGCAGAGGGTTTGCAGAAACAATGAGAAAGGACACATGGACAAAAGCAAGGAGAGGTGGAAACGGGATGGAGGTGGGGATGGCTGGGATGTTGGGGAAGGGTAGGGTGGCGGGGGGGGGGGGGGAGAGACAGAAAACTGTACTTGAACAACAATAAAATTCAAAAGTATTTAATAAAAAAATGTTGAAAAGAAACAAACATGATACAAAAGATATAAAGATGAGTTATTTATGATGGATAACTCCAAAAACACTGATACAGTGTAGCTATTAGTAGGAAAAAAATAGAAATATTAAAATAACCATTTAAATTTTAAAGTTCAGAATTTTTGTTAACAATCTGTTTTTCTTGTGTTGTCACAAATACAATACTAACTATTACAAAGGAAATTTAAAGTAAAGGTGCATATGAAGTAAAGTCACAAATATATTTAAAGGGTACTTTTTTTTTCAAGCATCTAAGAAAAGATATAAGTTGGGGAACTTTTAAATGAGGGTAGCTCAATCTGTGAATTCTTATTTAAAACATTAATTTTAGTTATGATTCATAATAGTATGTGGAAAATATGAAATAGAAATAAACTGCTCCATAATTTAATCAAGGTAGCAAATTTAAAAGAAATTATATTTAAAATAAGTCCCTTTCTTCCATCAAATGTGTATCATTTCAGCTCTGCATGGTGTGGCTCAGTGGACTAAGTGCTGGCCTATGAACCAAAGGGTTGCCAATTCAATTCCCAGTCAGGACACATGCCTGGGTTGCAGGCAAGGTCAGGTCCTTGGTGGGACCACACATTGATGTTCTCGCCCTCTCTTCTCCCTCCCTTCCCCTCTATCCTTTTTTTTTTTTTTTTTAGAGAGGGAAGGGAGGGGGAGAGAGAGAGAGAGAGAAACATCAATGTGTGGTTGCTGGGGGCCATGGCCTGCAACGCAGGCATGTGCCCTGACTGGGAATCAAACCTGCGATGCTTTGGTTTGCAGCCCGCTCTCAATCCACTGAGCTACACAGCCAGGGCTTATCCCTCTATCTAAAATAAATAAATAAAATCTTTTTTAAATGTGTATATCATTTCAAGTTATAAAAATGGTAAAGGTATTATACTTTTGAACCCTTACAAATATCATTATTAAAATCTAAAATTTTCATTTCGATAATACTAGAAATGGTGATGACAGAGTTCATGCTTGATTTTAGTACCATTTTCACATGCAGAAACAGGAACAAACTTATAAGTGTTAAATTAATGGAAAATATATAGTCACATTTCAGACAAAAATATTCCCCCCAAAAGATAATTGTAGCCAGTTAAAAAGTTTTAGAAAAATACACTATTGTGCTTAACAACAACGATGTATGTGCTTTCATAAGTATAGAAACAAAAAAGAGACACTAAAAAATTGAGAATTGTGATTAGGGGTGTCCAACCTTTTGGTGTCTCTGGGCCACACTGGAAGAAGAGTTGTCTTGGGCCACACAGTAAATGCACAAACACTAATGAAAACCAAAAAAATCTCATAATATTTTGTGTAAATTTACAATTTTGTGTTGGACTGCATTCATAGCCATGCTGGATGGTGGGTTGGACACCCCTGATTGAAGATTTCTTTAAGAACTGTTAGTCAATTCTTTCAACTAGCCTCAATGCCTGGAGTGAAAACATATAATGTCCATTAAAATGGGTGAGTTATACAGAAGCAGGCAGATTATTTACTTCATCTACTTGCTGCAAGAATAAAAAAAAGATTCAGGGATATTGAGTATCTTTAACTGTCTTTTTTTTCAAAACTGAAATAGAAATATATTTATTTTACTGAACACTGTTTATTAACAGCTATGGTTAATGTCTTTTTTGTTTATTGTTTTATTCCTAGATATAAGTGCAGTACCTACATACTTTAGGAACTCATCAAGTACTTGTTGAATTGGAGTTTTATGGAACAGTAAGATAACCTTCTGTTTAAACTAACATTTAAAGAAGTTGGAGCACAAAAAAATCATGCTGATAAATTTCTGACCCATTTAGCTTTCTCTTATCTACAGAGACTTGGCTTTTTAACTTTTTTTTTATTGTTGTTCAACATAATTCTTCTCACCAAATGCTTGTAGCATAAGGGCAGGTGTCATTTCTAACTCTAACTAGATTCCCATTTTAGTCACCTTAGAGAGTTATAATATCACAGGTTAAAAAGAAAAAAGCACAGAGTTCTATCGATAATGGGAGCATACAGTGATCCCCATAAAGTCCTGAGCAGCCAACACCCCCGCACCACCGGGAGGAACTGCAGCTTTCCCCAGTTACCTTCACTGCAACCATGAGCATCGAGACCAAGGCCCAACAGCCACCCACCACCCCCACCCCCAGTGCTGTGGACACCAAACACATCACCACAGGCAGCTGCACAGGGAGCGGAACGGGGCGGCCTCACACCAGCAGGAACAAGGTCATGGCAATGAAGTTTTGGGGACAGTAAAATGATTCAATGTAACAAAAGATACAGTTTCATCAACAGGAATGACACCAAGGAAGATGTATTTGTATACCAGACTGCCAAAAAATAGAATAACCCTAGGAAGTACCTTTGCAGTGTAGGAGATGGAGAGACTGGAGTTTGATGTTGAAGGAGAAAAAGGTGCACAGGCAGCAAATGTCTCAGGCCCTAGTAGAGTCCCAGTGCAAGGCAGTGAGTGTGTGTGGGTATGATCTGCAAGGCACCAGACCATAACCATTATAGACACTATCCACATGGCAGGGGCCCTCCACACAATTACCAGCAGAATTACTAGAACAGTGAGAGTGGGGAAAAGGAGGAGGGATCCATGGGTGCTCCCGAAGGACAAGTCCAATAGCAGAGACTGGAGGTGATGATTCCCACCTTACTAAATTTAGCAGAGACCTTATGGGCTTCAACCACAGTATTCCAACCCTCCTGTGCAGGGAAAAGTGATGGAAGGTGTTGACAACCAGAGTGCAGGAGATCAAAGTAGCCCAGTGAGACAGAATATGTATCAGGGCCACAGAACACGATTTTGCCTTTCTCCTTGTGAAAGACAGCCTAGAGAGGACAGCAATGAAGAAGACAAGGAAAATCAAGGACATAAGACTCAAGGTCAGCAGCCACCTCAATGTAGGTACTGCTGCAACTACAATTACTGACTATGCAGACACTCAGAAAACCCAAAACCACAAGATGGCAAAGAGACAAAGGCAGCCAATCCACCAGCTGAGAATTCATCCACTCCCCCAGTTAAGCAGGCCGGGCTGAGTAAATGCCTGCTTTCTATCTCTAGATCATTGGGTTTTTCTCATCCAACAAGAAGAGATGAATGTGAAATTCTAACAGTAAGATATGAACAAAAGATTGGAGCTGAAGACCTTGAGTACTTGCTTTTTCCCATTGACCAGATAACTAGAACTACTTGCATTGTCTATGCAGCATGGCATTTCTATTATTTTTATCTAAAGACGTCTCTTTTTGGTAATGATCAATGTGTGGGCTTTTTAATTTACAGATTTTTAAGTTGTTTTATACCTGGTCAAGTAGAGATTTTTAAGAACCTCATTTTTAATTTGTAATAAAAGTTTACAACTTAATTTTTTTTTCAAAAAAAAGTCAACAAACCCCAAGCACTTGTGAATAAAGCTCTTAAATAATACAACAAACAAAAAACAACACAATAGTAATTATAGCAGATGTAGTGTAGTAACACGCTAGATATCAAACACTGACAGAGACAAGGGAAAAAAAGGATAAACTAAAGAAAAAAAATGGGTGGGGAAAGGCCATGAAATTAAAATCTCCTTGAAATTTAAAACCTAAATGTGAAAAAGATTGCAAAAAGTATTTCACAAATGAAAAAGGATAAAGAACACTTCACTATATATGTATGTATATGTATGCATATGAATATGTTATATGTATATACACAATACACTGAGGTGACATGGAGCAAATGAGTTAATAGTGAGGAGAGGGCTAATAACAATATTAATATGGCATTTATTTCACACTTTACATCACCTTATTTAATCCTCAATCTTCTAAGAGAGATAATATTAATCCTACTTTATACAAAGAAAAATTAGATATGTGTCTTACCTAAGGAAATGAGACTGAGCACTTAGGTTTTCTAACTATAAATTCACTGCTTTCTCTCAGTGAAAAGGCCACCTTAAGAAAAAGAAGTATGCAAAAAAGTATAGGTCTTTTAAAAACTAATGCTTAAATTACAGAACTGATACAGAAAGGAGTTAATTTGTTAATAATAAATAAGATTTAAAAATAAACAGAAGTTATGACTTACCCATTGAGTCTACCTTCTCTCTATTTGATTTGCTTTGTGGTAATTTCTCAGCATTCAGTGCCTGAAATTTGTGCCTTGACCATTGTGTGAGATGGTCAATCATGGAGAACACAGTCTGTGTACTAAGTTGACACAGATCAGATGCACTGTCTTGGGTACTTATGTTATGCTGATCATCATGCTTTACAACTGCCATAATTTCTTCATAAACCTGAGAAGAAATCATTTTATGGTTAATAATATGTCTAATAATGTCCTTTTACTAGTATCTAACATGTGAGACTAACCATTCTAAGGCAAAAATTTTCTAAAGAAAAAAAACTCACCATAGATAATAATAAGTTATCTTTCTTATCTATAGTTCAGCCAATAAAAGGTTACCCTAAAAAATATACTGTAAAATTCATAAATGTAAATACAAAAATATTTTTAAATTCTTCTGTATCAGCAATTTTTAACTCATGTGCTATAGCACACTGGTGTGTTACAGAATTTTAAAAACATGCAATACTTGACTATTTAGTCAGGGGCACGGGTTTCTTTTCCTTAGATTGTCTAATAAAAAATGACAATAGTCAACACAATATCTATCTGGTGTGAATAAATCAAAATTATATCTAGCCCTGACTGGTGTGGCTCAGTGGACTGAGCATTGGCCTGCGAATCAAGAGGTCATCAGTTCGATTCCTAGTCAGGGCACATGCTTGGATTGTGGGCTAGGTCCCCAGTGAGAGGCAAACGATCAATATATCTCTGGCACACTAACATTCCTCCCTCTCTAAAAGTAAATAAATAAAGTCTTCAAAATTTTATCTGTTTTTTGGTCAGATTGACAAAAAACATATTTTTTGGTGTGCTGTAGAATTTTAGTAATTAGTTTATGTATGGCATGAGATGAAAAGGTTGAAAATTACTGTTCTAGATTATTCACTAAATTATAATGAAACTATTTATTAATGAGTAGCAAAAAAACTTGAAACAATATTTCAGAGTATCCACAAAATCAATTTCAGAGTAATTGAAGGGCTAAATGTAAAATCAAAAGTATTTTTTTAAATGTAGGAAATATGTTCATGACATTGGATTAAGAGAAGGCATCAAATAAAAGGCTTAAAATTCAAAAGTATGAGACTAATAAATTTGGCATTTACATATAAAATTTCTCCATGGTAAAAGATATAAACAAAGGTTAAAAAGAAAACCACTAGCTAGGAAAGATTTTTGCAAGACATGACTAGCATAAATTGTTATCCAGAATACATACAGAAGTCCTATAATTAATTAAAAAGGATACACATACCCCAAATAAGTGATATGAACAGATAATTTATAGAAAAGTAAAGCAAATGGCCAATGAAAAAAAAATACTGGGAATAATAAAAACAGAAATCAAAAAATAAGCTGGTTTTTTTTTTACCCATCGTATTGGCTAAAAATTTTTTTACAGATTTTACTTGTTAATTTTCAGAGAGATGGGAAGGGAGGGTGAAAGAGAGGGAAATATCAATGTGTGAGAGAAAAATCAACTGGTTGCCTCTCACACATCCCCAGCCAGTGTGAACTGGCCCACAACCCAGGCACGTACTCTGACTGGGAATTGAACTGATGACCCCTTGGTTCGCAGGCCAGTGTTCAATCCACTGAGCCACACCAGCCAGAACATATTGCCTAAATTTTAAATCTTTGAAAGTATTAAGTACTAGCAAGTATATGGGAAATGGATAGACATATGAACTGCTGGTAGAACTATAAATCAGCATGAATATTTTGCAGTCTCTAATAAAAATTTAAAAGTACATACCATACATAAGAATAGCCATGATGCTCACCATAGCATTGTTTGTTTGTAAAAGCAAAATATTGGACATAATCATTATTATCATGGCAATAGTTAAATCAATTATTTCACTTAATAAAAACAATTATTAAGTGAAATTATATGATGCAGCACTAATAAAACAAAGGGTGGTACACTGTCACTCTTAATTCATAAAGCAAGTTGCAAAACAATACCTACAACAGGATACCATCATAAAAAAACAAAACAAAACCAACTACATTAAAAAAAAGCCCTGAAAAAATATATATCAAATTAATAACAGTAATGACCTCTGAGGATATAGGATTAGGACAGTAGTCAAAGAGTATACTTTGAACTATTTGCATAGTTTGAATTTTTATATTAAGAACATAGTAATATGCTACTTATACTATTAAGCACAATCATTTTTTAAATGTTGTATGTATGTGGTTAAAAAAATAAAACAAAAAATACTATAAAATGATTTTGAAAAAAATTCTCTTTCTCCTACTCTAATTCACAGTAACATTCCCCAGGGAAAAACACTATCAATAGTTTCTTATGTATCCTTCTCAAAAGTTCTGTGCATCTTTGAACATACATATTTTCTAATTTTCTGTACTAAGCATTATATAATTTTTTGATAAATAAAAAACTACAGAGGATATTTTAAGCCTTTAGACAGGTACATACACAGCACTGATCTACATTTCCTACAAATATGTAGCCTTTCTAATACACTGGAAAAATGTACAAAGAGAACCCAAGTAAAATGATCTCTCACCTCCTGCTGATCTTCTTGATTACCACCCAACAAGACATAGACTAGAATATGCGGGAGAAGATAGATGGTCACCTTGAAATCATGCTTCATCATAATGCTACAGCAAGTGAAGATTTTACTGGCAAGATCATGCCGAACCTGTAAACTCAAATGGTTGAGAGAGAGTGAGTAGTTATATACATCTTATTCTTTAATTAATGTCAAAGAAAAACATGGGAGATTTTTTACTAGCACAGAGTGGGCATCCTCTTACAGAGCAAAGCATGTGCACTCAAGCAGGGAAGATTTCACATCACCACCTCTCTTTTAACTCCAAATACCCCAAAGTGCCTGAACTACTAGATCTCTGTAAGGCAATACAGCTACCTGGGCTGCCAACTACCACAGCATCAAAGGACTTCCCCACTTATAATACATTTTTCAAAATTATATTGTACTGATTAGGCTATTACAATTTTCCCAATTTTTTCCCCTTTGCCCTCCTCCACCCTGTACTCCTCCCTCAGGCCATCCCCCCACCACCGTTCATGTCCATGGGTCATACGTATAAGTTCTTTAGCTACTCGATTTCCTATACTGTCCTTTACATCCGCATGGTTATTCTTTAACTACCTTTGTACTTCTTAATCCTCTCACCTCTTTATGCATTCCCCCACAACCCCCTCCCATCAGGCAACCCTCAGAACACTCTCTGTATCCATCATTCTGTATCTATTTGCTTAGTTTGTTTTCTAGATTCAATTGTTAATAGAAATGTATTTATTACCATTTTATTGTTCACAGTTTTGATCTTCTTTCTCTTAAATAAGTTCCTTTAACATTGCATATAATAATGGTTTGGTGATGATGAACTCCTTTAGTTTTTTCTTGTCTGGGAAGCTATTTATCTGCCCTTATATTCTAAATGATAGCTTTGCTGGGTAGAGCTATCTTGGCTGTAGGTCCCTGCTTTTCATGACTTGGAATACTTCTTGCCAATCCCTTCTAGCCTGCAAAGTTTCTTTTGAGAAATCAGCCAACAGTCTTGTGGGAAGTCCACTGTATGTAACTAACTCATTTTCTCTTGCTGCTTTTAAGATCCTCTCTTTATCTTTAACCTTTGGCATTTTAATTACAATGTGTCTTGGAGTGGGACTCTTTGCAACTATCTTGTTTGGGACTCTCTGTGCTTCCTGGACTTACATGTCTATTTCCTTCACCAAATTAGAGAAATTTCTTTCATTATTTTTTCAAGTAGATTTCCAATTTCTTGCTCTTTCTCTTCTCCTTCTGGCACTCCCATGAGGCAAATGTTGGATCTCTTAAAGTTGTCTGAGAGGACGTTTCTACTCTCCTCATTTTTTTGGCTTTTTTCTTCTTGTTCTTCTGATGTTTTTTGCTTCCTTATGTTCCAAATTATTTATTAGATTCTCAGCTTCATCCCCTCTACTGTTGTTTCCCTGTAAACTGTTCTTTATTTCAATTAGTGCATCCCTTGTTTCTAACTGGATCTTTTTTATACTGTTGAGGTCCCCACTAAGTTCCTTGAGTATCATTATAAAGTGTTTTGAACTCAGCATTTGATAGACTGCTTATCTCCATTTTGTTTAGTTCTTTTCCTGGAACTTTAATGTCTTTAATTTGGGCCATGTTTCTTCGTCCCCACATTTTGACAGCCTCCCTGTTTGTTTCTATATATCAGGTACAGCTGCTATGACTCCCTGTCTTGGTAGCGTGACCTAATGTAGTACGTGTCCTATAGGGTCCAGGAGCACAGCCACTCCTATCACCCAAGCTGGATACTTGAGGTATACCCTTTGTGTGTGCTGAGTACACACTCCTCTTGTAGTTCAGCAATAATTGATGTTGGCAGGTTAATGGGAGGGATTTACCCAAGCAGGTGAGCTGCAAGGACTGGCTGTGACCACTGACCACCAACCTCCCCCTGCGTGCAGGCTCAGCTGTACAGGGTAAGGTGGTGGTGCTCCAATGTGGTCTGTAGCTGTCCACTGGGGGCACAGGATCTGGGGTTTCCTTGGTGTGGCTAGCCAATGTCAGGCCCCTCCTGTGTTCTACCCTGGGCCACCCTGCATGAGCAATATAGCAATCTGAGATAGCTGCTACTTGTGCTGAGGTTGGAGATCCCCAGGCAAAGCCAAGCTGTGAATCTAGGCTGGCTGCTGCTAGTGCCAGGCCTGGGGCCACTTAGCAAGAGGTATGGGGGCTGGGGGCTCACTGAGACCTGCTGTTGCTTGTTTGATAGATTTTAGGAAGTTATAAAGCATGAGCCAAGACCAGCCATTCATATGGAAAAGTCATGGTTTGGGTGGGCCCATAAGTTGGGTTGGTCCGAGTCCTACACGACCTCCAGGGTGGGCAAACAGTGTCAGCCAGGTTGATGGAGTCAGATATGGCACCCTCCTCCTGGCTCTGTGGCTCTCTGAGGGAAGGATTTAGAAAAGGGAAAATGGCCTTTGCCTGCCTTTCTGTCTGGGAGAAAGCTGTCCCCCAGCTCCTACCTTGATGACAGACACTTCAGTTTCTCCCTGTAGGCCACTGGTGCCTTTCAAGCTGCTACCCCAGGGCTAGAGCTCAGAGGAAGTGAGTCTGAATAAGTCTGTGTGTGCGCTCTTTAAGGGGAACTTTTTGGGACTCCGGAAGTTTCCCGTACTGACTCAGTCTCCACTGGATTTCATAGTCAGAAGTTATGGGAGTTATCTTCGCACAGGGTGTGTGGTATGGGGGGCCTGCTGTTAAACTGGGAATACTTGCTCCTGAGATATCCCTCATGAATTTTTATCTACCACGTGGAAATGGGACCAGCCCGTTCCACGTCTCTACCCCTCCCTGCCAGTCTGGATAGATGTGGTTTCTTTAATTCCATTGTTGTCAGACTTCCATTCAACTCAATTTCTGAAAGTTCTGAGTGATGGCTATTCATATATTAGCTGTAATTTTGATATGGTTGTGTGAAGAGGGGAGCTGTGTTTACTTATGCTGCCATCTTGACTGGAAATCCGAATGAATTTCTGCAATTCATTCTTTTTTTTTAATGTGTGACCTAGAATTTTTTTATTATTTTATTGTTGTTCAATTATAGTTGTCTGCATTTACCCACCACCACTACCCCCCACCCCAGCCAAAACCACCTCCCTCTCTTGCTTCCACCCCACCTTCGTTTTGTCCATGTGTCCTTTATAGTTGTTCCTGAAAACGCTTCCCCGCAGTTCATTTTTTAATGCGCCATGTTTTGTTACAGATTAACATCCCTAATTATGGAATATTTTACTTAGCTAACCTTAGGTTTATTGTATTAATTCCCCAAGCACACAGATGAATAAAGTAACCAAAAAGTATGCTGTGGGCCAGCATATTAAACATAAGGTTAACATAATAAATGATGATTAACTACAGGAAAAAAATAAATAGAAAATTAAATTACCTGGCGTTAGAGTCAAATTTTATTAATATGACCTTACATTTAATTTACCCACATTAGTGTTCTCTTATGACATTTTAAAGGCCTTCTTTCCTTAAATATGTATGCGGCACTTAAAAAAAAAAACCCTGGCTGATATGGCTCAGTGGATTGAGCACCTGCCTGTTAACCTCAAGGTCATCAGTTAAATTCCCAGTGAGGGCACATGCCCAGGACCAGGTTGCAGGCCAGGTCCCCAGTGGGGTCGCTCATTAGGCAACCACACATTGGTGTTCTCTCCCTCTCTTTCTACCTCCCTTCCCCTCTCTTAAAAAATAAATAAATAAAATCTTAAAAAAACAAACCTAAAAATATTATAGAACTGAAATAATTATGTTCTACATTTCATATATTTTCAGTATGTTTATTTCAAAATGAGAGAAATTTTATTAAAATTGCCTGATATGAATTTTTATATTTTAACACATTAACAGAAATATAACTTTTAAAAGTTATAAATTTTAAATATTCATTTAAAGCATTTTCTTGGAACACAGAGTATCTTTTTGTCTGTAGGCATGTAGAAAGTCATCATATTAGAAAAACATCAGAAATATACCTCTATTTTTTTCATGAAATTTCATTTTTTTAAAAGATCTTTATTTTTATTTTGGAGCAAGTTCAGATCATGTACTTCTTTTAGAAGTAACCACTAATGGATACTATATCTTAATTATGTAATAAACACTGACAAAGCATTAAATTCCTTTTAAACAGTGTTTTACAACTTAAAAGGAACAGACATAATGTAATAGACATTTTACAAACACATGAAGATATAGTAATTTAATAAAATAATTATCTTTTTACTCAGAATCTGTTATTACTAGTAACAGAGAAATTGTTACCTTTTATTAGTACATATTTTCTAAAAAAATTTCCATCATTATCACTACAAATATTTCAATGCCTTCTATGTGTACTATGCATTCAGACAGATATTCTAATTTCCTTTAGAATTTCTATCCAAATAACAAATTCTAAACAAAATTCTCTTACCTTTGTTATAAGATAACCTGCCCAAGATGCTGACCATTCTGCAAAGTTATTACCTAATTTACTTAAGTAAATTGGCTTCTTCACTCCAGACCAATCTGTTGACTTCTGAGAACTCTTGTATCTGTAATTTAAAAAATTTGTATATTACAAATATATATAATTATATATCCATCTGTTAAGATCTTTAATAAAAACATCTTAAGAAACAATAAACTCTTACTGACTACCCCACTACTGCTATGCCTTTAATGAAATCTAGTTAAAGACACTACTTTTCCTATATTGTTTTTGTTTACTAATTGATTTTAGAGAGAGAGGAAAGAAGAGAAAAGAGGGAGGGAGGGAGAGAAGAAGAGAGAGAGGGGGAGAGAGAGAGAGACATCAATTTGCTGCTCTACTTTTATTGATGCATTCACTGTTTGATTCTTGTATGTGCTCTGATTGAGGAATTAACCTGCAACCGTGGCATATCAGGATGACGCTCTAACCAACTGGGCTACCTGGCCATGGTTTTCCTATATTCTTCGTAATGGTGGGGTGGAAGGTCATTCTTAAAACATGCCAAGTACTTCAAAGGATTCTAGTGTGCTTCCTCTTCTTCAATGTTCCTTTCAGATCCTTTGAAATCCCTTGTTATATTCTGTAAGAAAGACCTTTTCCTTTGAGCTTCAAGCCACCCATGTATACTATTCTCTACTCCTCATTAAGGGCATCTACCAAACTCACTGATTACCAAACTCATTAAAAACTTTAGTACATTGCTCAGTGTTTTTTTCTTCCCCAAACCTCACCATTCTGGATGACTTCATCTAATCAAACTAGAAACTTTTCATTTGTACTCCTTTATTAGGACTCCCTTACCAATACAAAGAAACTGTTACTTCCAAAATGAACTATTTAAACACCTTACTCTATGGCTAGTTTCCCAAATTTCCAGTTCTTCCCAGTTACTCTAATACCCCTGTTCTCTCAATGAGATCTTTTGTCCCTTGATCCAGCTAAACTCACCTTATCTATAATACCTTTCTTTTGTTCCCCTTTCCCTAACCAGCTTGGTTTCCATGGTCCTTTACTTCACGCACTTTTTTGGCAATATCCTCTATCCACTCCTCTGCTACAACATCTCTACCAGTTGTGCTCTTCTGCAAACCTCCCAAACTTGAATCAATCTGATATCCAGGCCACTGCACAGGTAACTGAAAATCACTCAACTGTTTTTGAGATTAGTACTAGTATATATTCTTAATTTTCAACCTCAGTGAACCGTTCTGCTAACCAGAAATTCTTCTAAGCTTTCCTTATTCTCTCTCTCTTCTGTTTTCTATAATGACTATTTCAAATCATCCCTCTCCCCATATCACCTTTGTCAACTCATTGCTACTTGCACCAATAATCTCATTTTCTATGCCTTATACTTCCTGGAGAAAAGAAATCATTGTTTTCCATAATCACATCCATACACATAGCTGAGTTATAGCCATCATTTTAAATTTCCCTATTACAAAAAATATATATTTTACTTCCTTTAGATCTAATCTCCCATTAGGGAATGGCTACCATTCTGGATGCTCCTCAGGGTCTTTATATCAACTACCTCTTCTCTTTCATAACTTCAACATGATCCTTTCTATTTGCTCCTCAGCAACATTTAAATATGTTCAAGTAGCTCTCACCTTACATCTGCATGGGTGTAGCATTTTTTTTAGGAGAATGGTCCTTGTCAATCACTAATTAAGGTTAGGAAATGACAAATATAATAAATGAGTATAAACCTATATCAAGGTCTCTAGCAAACATTACGTATTTCACTGTATTCTAAACTTCTAAAAATGGAAAAATCCAGTGATCTCTCAGTTAACCATCACTATTTTGAATCATCATGAATGTAATTCTCTCAAGGGCGTCCAACATTTTGGCATCTCTGGGCCATACTGGAAGAAGAGTTGTCTTGAGCCACACATTAAATATTAAATATACTGCAACACATAATCACAAAAAAAATCTCATAATGTTTTAAGTAAATTTATGATTTTGTGTTGGGCCTCATTCATAACCATCCTGAGTCACATGTGGCCTGAAGGCCACGGGTTAGACACCCCTGCTCTGGATGATTATATCAAGTTTTATAATTAACTCAGCTAGAAAACTTCTAATATTAGAGTATGAGACAGGTTCTACCTGGTCACAACCAAATATTTTTCCAAGAATTATTTTGATGGCAACTTTGAATTGTAGTCGATCTATCTAGTTCTAAAAATCAAATCTCCCAAACATAGCCATCCTTTAATCCAAGTTAGTGATTGCACATAAATAGCTCAACTGAAAAAAAAATAAAGGAGAATATAGAAGTTTAAATTTAAGGTAGCAAAAACAAAAATATGCTTTTAGGAAATTCTTTACTTCTCCCAGGCCCTCTGAAGTCCAAGCTATAAAACTGACCTATTGATTGATTAGGTATCTTGGTGTTTTATACAAAAGCTTTCAAACAAACGTGGATCACCTCCATTAATACTGCCTGCTACTGACCTCTTTTTTTTTTTTATGAAGTGACAACTTTAATGAGCAGAATACAGCCAGATAAATCTCCTAACATCCACCATTGAGAGAGCATCTGAAAGGTTCCTTAAAGCTCTCGGACATAAAAGAAGGGTTAGAATTCTCATTGTTTTACTAATATCACTCTTATAAATGACCACTTAAATGTTGTACCCTATGAAAGAATAACAAATAGGCAGACAATGTTGGCTTCTCATGAAAAATTAAATTGAATAGCAAGTAAACAAAAATGTTAGCTTCTTCTTCATATAAAATAAGCAAGCAACACTACTCCTTTCAAAAAAAAGCAAGGAACTTATTCAACAAGATGGGATTGAAAAAGCAGTGAGTATAAATTAAATATTAGGCGCTCTATTAGGTACATTTTAAAAGTATCTTCTTTATTTCTAACAATGATTATTCAAGGTAAATAAAACTACCTACATTATCAAGGTGAAAAAATTGAGACTTAGAAATGTTTAGTAACTTGCCCAAGACACCAGAGCTAGCAAATGCGGAGCCAAGATTCAAATTCAGATCTGTGTGACTCCAAAAGCCATAAACTTTAAACTAGATCACAGAAACTCTTCAGCATCTATCTATATAGGCTATAAAATATAGAATACAGAATTAAAAAGTGTGATATCCTCAAAAAAGAAAAAAATAAGTTTAACTATAGATGTTTTTACATATAATAAACTATATCTTTAAATAATGCTGTTCATAAATAAAAACTATGTTTGAAAGGCTTCTAACATAAAAAGGTATCTAGAAAATAAGTATGCAAATTTAAGGGCTTTTGTAAAGAATTTTACTGCCCTGGCTGGTGTAGCTCAGTGGATTGAGCTCGGGCTGGGAACCAAAGTGTCCCAGGTTCGATTCCCAGCCAGGGCACATGCCTGGGTTGCAGGCCATAACCCCCAGCAACCGCACATTGATGTTTCTGTTTCTCTCTCTCTCTCTCTCTCTATCTATCTATCTATCTCTATCTCTATCTCCATCTCCATCTCTCTCCCTTCTCTCTCTAAAAAAAATAAATAAAAAAAAAAAAAGAATTTTACTACAAGGCTAGGCATGGTTCTAAAGCTCAAAGAAGTAATTTACCCAAGGTAACATATCCAATCAGCATGTAACCTTGACTACCAAAAATTAGTTTCTAAATAAAAATAATTTAAAATTTATGTGTTTCAATTGGCCTTAACAAAGTTATTAAAATTAGAAAAAATGATTTAAAAACGTTTTGTTAGAAATTGAAGAAGAAACAGTTCACATGCTGGCAGCAGCAGACCTTCTTCCTAGGTTTACCATGGCTCAACTGGGTACTTTGAACCTCAATCACAAGGTTATGAAGACAAGAAAAGTGAAGAAAACACAAGTTTTGATTACCTGAAAACCTGATAGGGGCGTTTGCAGACTGAAGTCAAGAAAGGTTACTGAAGATGCACTGATGAAAAACCAAAGACGTGCACAACGACTGCTTAAAGAAATTCATGCCATGATGAAACCTGATATAGTACCTAAATCTGCTCCTGGTGATGATATCAATTTTGAAAAAATCTGCAAAAAGCCTGACTCTACTGAGACTGAAAGAGCAACTGCCAGATTAGCAATGTATCCTCTCTGAAGAAAAAAGGTAGATGTGTTAAAAGTTGCTGTCAAAGCCTTTAAAGATTTTGCAAGCTACAATGATGATGAAGTTAAGTCATCAAAGAGTGTTTCACAAGAAAATCATCCCAAGTACAACTCATGCCATTAAGTTACAGAATAAAGGAAATACTATCAGTGAGCAAAAAGACAAAGAAACCAAATTATTGGCAAAGAAACCCATAAATATTCAAAAGAAAAAATAGCCAAGATGACACATGGACCCAAAACAGTGGATATTTCAAATTCTCCATCAAAACTTTCTGAAAAGAATTCCATAGTTCCCTCTGAACCCCAGAAAACATCTCCTGACCCAAAAATAAAAATGTTATGTCAAACCAAAACAAAAGCAAGAGTCCAATAGCTTACTTGCTTGGTACTATCAGTGATAGAGAAGAATTACATGAAGAAAAGGAGTATTTTGATGATAGCATAGAACAAATGTTTATACTCTTCCATATCTGAGGATAGCAACAGTGGTGACAACATCTGTTTGTTTGTTTGTTTTTAAGATTTTTATTTATTTTTAGAGAGAGGGAAAGGGGAGAAAACAAGAGGGAGAGAAACATCAACGTGTGGTTGCCTCTTGAACACCCACTACTGGGGACCTGGCCCACAACCCAGGCATGTGCCCTGACTGGGAATTGAATCGGAGACCCGTTAGTTCACAGGCCGGTACTCAATCCACTGAGCCACACCAGTCAGGGTAGTGATGACTTCTTTATTGGGAAAGTCACATGGACATGGAAGAAGGAAAATGGTTGTCATTCTTCAGTTTTGGAACAAAAATGCTGCTAAAAAGTGTGTTCTGAAGAAGATATACTTGAAACCTGTCAGGATAGAAGAATAACCAAAAAAAAAGCCAAGAACAGAAGCAAGAAAGTGTGAATCAGTGTTTTCCCATTCTTTATCTGGATCTAAAAAGCTCTAGAAGAAATTAGAGAACAGGCTCTGAAAAGCAACACCCCAGGTTTTCAGCAAAGTGAACCTCGGCTCAAGGATCAGTTTAAGAATGCACAAAGAGGACCTGACAGGGCAGACACAGCCACCTCAACATCCTTCATGGGAAGTGAACAGGAGGTGAAAAGAACAGCAATCTAAAACTGCTGTGTTTGGAGCGGCGTGGGGGAGGGAGGAATACATTTGATGATTGATTAGTGCCTCTTTTCATGAAGTTTTCCATGTAAAATATTTTTTTCTCCTTCTTTTTGTTTTTACTGGTCCATTATTTAAATTCGTATTTGAATAAGTCTTTTGGAGCAGTTATAAAATGAGTTGGTTGTTATCTTTATTTCTCTTTTTTAAATGTGTTCAAGTTATATTTACATAAACTTTCCACAAATATAAACCTTCAAATATATAAACTGGTTTTTAAAAATATGTCCAGCTCTGCCCAGTATGACTCAGTTGGTTGGAGCATCATTCCATAACTGAGGCTACAGGTTCAATTCCTGGTCGGGGCACATACCTAGGTTGCAGTTCTGTTAACTGTCCTGGCATGTCCCATCCTGGTCAGGGCACATCTAGAAGGCAACCAATCAATGCTTCTCTCTCACATCAATGTTTTTCTCTCTCTCCCTTCCTCTCTCTCTAAAAAAGCAAGGAAAAAATGTCCTTGAGTGAAAAAATAAAACTATGCCCAGCCCTGACCAGTGTGCCTTAGTTGGCTGGGCATCACCCCTCAGTGAAAGATCACCGACTCAATTTCCAATCAGGGCTCACGCCTGGGTTGTGGTTCAGACCCAGTCAGGGTGTGTAAAACAGGCAACCGATCAATGTTTCTCTCCCTCTCTTTCTCCCTTCCTTCCCCTCTCTCTAAAAATAAATAAATGAAATCTTAAAAAAAAAAAAAAAAAAAAAAGCCCAGACTGTTCCCTTTATAAAAGTATTTTGAGATTATAACTCTCAGATTTTCTCATTTGTACTTATCATGAAGTGTATTTCACTGGTATAGGGCTGTATTTCTTTGCCTCAAAAATACATGTTGAGATATATTTAAAATAAGGGAAAAATATGAGGAAATTGTAGCTGTTTAAAATAGATCACCTTTGCTAAAAGTTGTTCGTTTTAGCAAAACTAATATTAAGATAGTAATGTTTATTGTGGGTATACACATAATAAGTTATACAAATAAATATAACTTTCATTATACATTTTTAAAAAGTAGAGGAAGAAAATATCTTCACGAGGAGAAACTGGATATGGTTGAAAATCTCTTACCTCTAACTGGGCTTACTAAAACTTTGAGACTGACTTTAAATTTTTAAATTTCTATATTAATTACACCTGTCATAAGCTTCAACACACATTCAGCTGAAAGTAGCTTCTTCCAAGTACTATGACATTTTAATTATTTTTTAAAAATCAATCCTTTTAGCTTCAATAAATATGCCTAAATACTTAAAGTTATAGAGTTTAACCAATGAGCAAACTGTACGTTCATTTTAACAAAACTATAAACATAAATCACAGTGGAAAATAATATTAGAACATATTTTTTAAAACTTTGAATGCTAAAATTATATGAAAAATATAATTAACTTTATAAAGTTAAAAACCATTTTATGAATAGCTTTAATTAGTCTACCAACCTAGTATTTAGATGAGGTTCCAATATTTCCCGAACATGCTCAGGAAATTTCCTCCACAACTGGTGACCTGGGCTGTCAGTCTGCATCTCTCTACAGTCATAAATAGAAAGTAATTCCTACAAACACATATTTTACATTTGTAAATTCATAGTGATGCAGATAAATTTTTACATTAATCAACATTCTACACATTATAATTATAAAAATATACAGAAAAATACCAAAGAATTATAAAACTGGGTGGTTATGAACTTGCTTAGAACATTTACTTCAATGCTTAGAATTATTTAGGTTGCAAAGCTGTGGTAGTACTTGAAAATGCAGTTTTGTTCTGTATATAATATGTATTGAAATACAAGATTACAAGCTACTTGGAAGAAAAAGATTAAAACTTACAGAAGTATAATTCTTGGAATCTAACCTTTTTTGAATTTTAATGAAAGCAACTACAAATCCAAAAGAGTTAAAAAATTCAAGATATTTAAATTTTACATATAAAATACTGGTTCCTGGCTGGGTAGCTCAGTTGGTTAGAGCATCATCTTAATACGCCAAGGTTGTAGGTTCAATCCCTGCACATATAAGAATTAACCAATAAATGCATAAATAAGCAGAACAGCAATCTGATGTTTCTCTCTCTCTGCCCCTATCCCCCCTCTCAAAACCAACTAAAAATAAAAATAAACATAAAATACTCAGCTTAAAATTTTGAAAAGAAAATGCAAATATTAAAGACCAATTTACTATTCAATCCTAGGAATTAAATAATTAAATGGCATTTTACTGTCCTGAAAATAAAACAAATGGGATTTTATACAAGAAGAAAAAAATCTTTCTCTCTAATATCAAACTTCAAAACAAGATGATTGTTAGGATATTATACCTTCCATCATATATTACTCTTTCTTTCCAGTTCCATTAAAAATGGCTATATGCAATAGATTTTTCCTAAAATTTATAAAATGTAAGTACTGTCTAGCAAAATATGTACTTTGTACTTATATTTAACACTGTATTTTTAAATAAAAGTAAGGAAGTATTTGAAAAGTTCAAATACAGAAACATCCAAAACTCACTTTCATTTAACTTTGAAGTGTTATAAAAATTTTATTTGAAGCCAGCTTTTTTTGATGTTTGGAAAGTTGCTCTAGCTAACAGAAGCTCTCTTCATCAACCTCCAATGGCAGACTTAGTAATTCGCCAACTTTTTGGTTTCAGGACCATTTACACTCTTAAATATGCTGGTATACTTACAATTGTAGACCTTGCTTCATATTTCACTGAGAAAACAGAAGCAATAAGGAAAGACCTCTACACCTTCCATGATCCTATCTACCCAACTTGCCAACGTCAGCGTCAATGCCCACATGCTCTTTCTAGTTTGTTACTACAGATGAATTGTTTTTGCTGTTCAGGTTACCCCTTTCACTTCTACACTATATTCCACATCTTTTTACCTACTTAAAACAGTATTACATTAATTATCTCCTATATCATCACTTTTCTCCTCTCTGCTGAATTGTTTTCAAGCAATGTATAAACATACTGTTATTTTTCCCATCTTAATTTTTCTTTCCTCCCAGTCAATCTCATTCCTCTTCAACAATCCTCAAAAGAGTTTCTGTAATTTCTCTACTTCCTCTCTTACCACATGTTCTTTTTTTTTATTTTATTTATTTATTTTTTTAGAGAGGGAAGGGAGGGAGAAAGAGAGAGAGAGAAACATCAATGTGCAGTTGCTGGGGGTCATGGCCTGCAAGCCAGGCATGTACCCTGACTGGGAATCGAACCTGCAACACTTTGGTTCACAGCCCGCGCTCAATCCACTGAGCTACGCCAGCTAGGCACATATTCTTAAAAATACTCTAACAAGGCTTTTAATACTCCACTGATATTGCTGTTATCAAGGTCATCAATGACCTTTATGTTACTATAGTCAAGTTAATTATCAATCCCTAAATTATCGCACCTGTGATCAACATTTAATACAGGGGATCACTCCATACTTCTTGAAACACTTTCTTATCTTCCATAATATCACACTCTCCTACCTTATTGGTAGTTACTTTTTAGTTGTCTTACTTGTTCCCTCCTCTTCCAACTGATCCCTTATAATCCAGATCTCATTTACTATACAGAACCTGTTTATCTATATTCCCTCCCTTGATGTCATCCAGATCAGTTTTAAGTACCATCTCTACAACAAAAAAAATCTTCAAATATTTATCTGTAACAGAGCCCTCTCACCACGAGTGCCAGACCTGCATATCTAACAGAACAAAGAAATTTTTAAATGAAAAAATAAAACACCATGAAAAAGGGCAAAGAAAGCCAAACTGGAAAAATAATTATTACATGTACAATAGACAAAAACTTAATTTCCATTACATCCAAATAGGGCTTACGTATCAATAAAAAATAGACCACTAACCAAGAGAAAAATGGGAAAAGATCTAGAAAAAATCCAAAAAAGCAATAAACATGTTATACCTCTCTCATAATTAAAATAAAATGGTACCATTTTCATCTGTCACATAGGCAAAGATTTAAAATTTTGATAAAATACTTTTGTCACATGTGTATAAACTGGTGAAACTTTTTTTTTTGACAAAACTCTGTACTTGCTCTGAGAAATATTTTAATTTCTGGGTATTTATATTATGACATATTCACTCCAGAGCTAAAAAATATATGTATGTTTTCTAAATCATTTTTTATAAAAATAAAACATTAAACATAACCTGTGTTAAATTTCTTAAATAATCATACATATATATTGAATATTAAGTCACTGAAAAATAATAAATTGTACTGACATGGAAATTACCCAGGACAGACTGTTAAACATGAAGGAAAATCAAGTTACAGATTGTTAATAAGTAATTTGATCTTGTTGTTGGGTGGAGAAAACTTACATAGAAAATTTTTCAAAGTACCTATAATAATCTGTTGAGAGGGTATGCTCTGTACACTGAAATTTTTATCATGAACTTGTATTACTTTGGTAGTAAAAATGACAGTTAAAAAAATAAGAGTTTCCAAAGTACAAAATCTACAAATTTCTTACTAGAAGATAATATGTAAAGCCAGTAATGACTATATGCACTTACCTGAATGGCATAAGCAGCTGAATCTTGAGCTCGGCTGTTATCTGCATATGCAAGGTAAGCTCTTGTTAATTCCATCAATAATCCATAGGCAAAACTTGGATCTTCAACTCCAGTCTCAATAAAAAGAAGAAAAAATTCAAGGATAATTTGTATAAAATTTTCTAAAGTGTACACTATCTTCCATGGTGCATTTAACTTAGGAAAGAATAGTAAGGTTCAAACTAAGTTAGGTACCAAAGCTAAAATATAATCTATAGCTAAGAAGCTAAATCTAAGGCTTTTAAGGTTATTTATAAGGTATAGTAGAATCATTAAACTTTACATAATTCCAACAATTTATCTTTTTTGTCTTTTAACCCTTAAGGAAAAGAACTGCATATATGTCATTTCCTTAACTGAATTTTGTGGAAGTCTGGTCACTTGAGAAGCTCCAAGAAATAATTTTAACACAACTTTCTCTTGGATATTGATAATGTGTACCAATATATTAAAAGTTTATTTAATTTTGTTTTAAAGGATTTCCCAAAGTAATTTAACCATAGAAATTTTTTATACACACACTATTAGAACACCCTGGGAATTCAGTTTCCCATGGAAATATTTAACAATAGTGTTTAAACAGTAATATTTAAATAGTTAATTAAGCTTTAAGTATTTGTCAAAATTAGATTAGGAAGTTTATTTAAAAGAACACAGCACACCAGAATGGGCTCAAACTTTGTTTTTGGCTTAAGAACTTTGAAATACCATTGGGGAATAAATTCAGAAGTTATATAAATTGTCTAGTTTAGATCAACTTCCACTAAAAATAAACTAATAGTTCTTTATAAATGGAATATAGAAACCCTAGGAGAACAGAGAACTCTTTTTGTCATTCCAAATTACTATTACTTACCACGAATGTAAAATCTTTTCCTTGGGTTTCAGTTGTGGAGAAATCTAGTCGACCTGGATCTATTGCCCCCAATTCCCCTAAACATTCCCCACAGAGCAACCGAGCATGACAATTGGCATCTTGGCAACCTTTCAAAAGCACTGTCACCAGCTGTGAGATAACAGGTTCCACTGTTTCACTATCTGTTGCATATTTTATTAGTTTTTCCTAAAATAAAAAAAGAGAAAGACAGTGTATACATATCTTCTACAAACTAGCATATTTTCCTAACTGGAAAGTTTAAAAATATTAAGGGACATCTGATATAAATATGACAAAATTAAATTCTCATAGCTGTAGTTTTTTCAGCTAGTTTTTGATGGGTTCACATAATATAGTTCACAATATGTTCCATGGTATTAGAATGATTAAATGTGTTTGAAAGTTTTAATCATTAATCCATTAGACAAAGAGTTACTGAATATTACATCATCATTAAAAAAATAAGAAAGACATAGTTCTTATCTTGAGTTCACAATCCAATGGGAAAATAGACAGTAAACAAATTTAGAAAAATAGAAAAGACTATTCCCAAGCCAGTTAAGACTTAGATATTATACTTGTGTGGCCACTTTAGAACTACATTTATTTAATTTTCTTTCCAGGAAAGTTAAGCACATATGAGCATCTCAAATTCTATGTTAAAACTATGACTCAAATTAGAGTAATACATTTCAAAAGAAAAATAAAAAGACATTTTATATCATCCAAAATCTTCAACATGCAATCACTTAAATAACATTACAGGTTAATCCAGACATAAATACAGAAAAAAAGGAACCAGTAATCAATAAACAATTAAGCTAGTATTTAAAAATTAGACATTAATTCACTTGCTAAAATTAGACCTGCAACCCAGGAATGTACCCTGGCTGGGAATCGAACCTGGGACACTTTGGTTCCCAGCCTGCGCTCAATCCACTGAGCTATGCCAGCCAGGGCACTTGCTAAAATTAGAAAACAGTAAGGAAAAGAACAGTTTAGTTGGCAAAGATAAATGCAGTTCATGCTCAAGACAACACAAATTATGAACCACTAATTTAAAATTTAAAATTTAAGGTAACTTAAAATATATACAATGGAATACTACTCAGCCACAAGAAAAGATGAAATACTGCCATCTGTGACATGAATGGATCTTCAGAATACCATTCATGCTAAGCAAAATAAGTGCTGCAGAAAAAGTCAAGAACCATTGATTTCACTCATATGTGGGATATAAAACTGAGAGCAACAAATTAACAAACAAACACTCATACACACAGACAACGATATTGTGGTTACCACAGGAAAGTGGGGCCAGGAGTAGTAAAGGATATGGGGGTAGAATATATGGTAATTGAAGATTTAATTTAGAATTTCTTAAACAAGTATATGTTCAATGCATCTATTTAGACAGGGTTTTTTTTTTAACATATAGACCCAATTCTATAATTTTCCAAATGTTTAATAAGTTGTCAAAACAAATCCATGTTTGCTCCAATTATTTGAAATGTCATTTTTATCATATGCTAAAGTCCATATATACTTGGTTCCATTTCTGGACTTTCTATTCTTTCCCACTGGTCTGTAGGAAAGAATATGCACCAGTATCACACTGTTATAATTATGGAGGCTGTAGAGTATGTTAATGTTGTCTGGTAGGGCTACTGAACACTCACTGTTGCCTTTTTTTGCCCCGGAGTTTTCCTATTTTTACTTGTTTGCTTTTTCATATGAAAATTAGTATAAAATTGTTTTAGTTGTAGAAAAAAATACTTGATATTTCTTTGGGATGGCATTCAATTTATCAATTAACCCAGGGAGAATTATAATATTGAATACAACTATCCAATAAACAAGTCATTTGTTTAAATCTATTACATTTTTGGGCCTTTCAGGGGTGTTTCAAAGTTTTCCTCTTATTGGTTTACACATTTATTGTTATGCTTATTCCTAAGTATTACCTTTCTCAGTTACTATTGTAAATTGGGTTTTCTAACAAGTCTTCTACCTAGTTATTGCTTGTTATATGATTATTGATTTTTATATCCTCCTTACTGAATTAGTTTGTTGTCTGAAACAGTTATACTATAAATTCTCTACAGTTTTCCAAGTATATTAGTATATTATCTGCAAACAGTTTTATATCTTTTCCAGTTCTTAATGCCTCTGTTGCTTTCCCCTTGTCTAAATTTATTGGCCAGTACTTCCAAATGAATGTTAAACTGTAGTAGAGTTAATGAGCAAACTTGCTTTTAGTAGGAATGTATCACATTTCACCATTTCACCACATGTATGTGTATAGCATACATTTATAATACACTGAAGTAGCATCCATCAATTCCTATTTCTCAAGTGTTTTTATCTGAAGTAGATGTTACAGTGTCAGAGGCTGTTTCAGAATTTGTGGAAAGAACAGTATGATTTTCTCCTTTAATGTATTAATATTAATACAGTGAATTATATTAACATATTGCCAAATATGAACCATTCTTGCAATCCTGTAATAAATTACAACTGTTTGTGGGTGTTTTCTGAATACAAAACTGAATTCTATTTGATAACATTTCACTTCATTTTTTGCTTTGATATTTGTAAGTAATAATGATCTTTAATTCTATATTATGCTATATGTATGAGGTTTAGTGAAACTTACACAACTCTCCTTTAAAAAAATTATAAGTTTTCCTAAATTGTTCTAGAAAATGCTCTAGAACAATTTAAATAGCACTGGGACTATCTAGTTTTTAAAGATTTGGTAAAAATCCCCCTGTAAAACCACTGGGTGTGGTATTTTCCTCTACTTGTAGTTCTTTTGTAATATTCTCTGTTTCTTTACAGAAATTAGTGTTTTAAGAGTTCTATTTATACTAGAGTCAATTTTGATAAATTATATTTTCCAGGAAAAAAATCCAGGTTTACCAAGGTATTTGCACAAAGGGTACAAAATAGTTTCTGTGATTTTCAAAAAATATTTCCTTTGTTGCAATGGTTATTTCTATCTTGTCATTTCTTCTTTTCACATTTGTGATTTCTGTTTTTTGTTCTTCTTTAGGTTAGAGATTTACCTATTTTCATTTATTAGAATAAAAGAACCAGGATTTTTATTTATTAATTTGTTCCATTTTTCTCTTTTCTACATAATTAATTTCAGCTTTTATTTTTTTATTACTCCCTTCCTGTGCTATCATTTCTTAAATAAACAGTTTTATTGAAATATAATTCACATACCACAAAATCACTCCTTTGAAGTATAAAATCCAGTTATCTTTAGTGTATTCACAATGTTTAAAATATTTACAAGTACAACCATTAGTTTTATTTAACTCCAGAACATTTTCATCTTTAGTTTTCTTATTAGTAATTTAAAATAAATTTATTCAGGTACATATTGATACTAAACTAAATTAGCCCTCACTTAAAAATAGTATATCCTTTAACAATCCATGGTCATTATATCTTATTCAGACTACTCAAAATTACAAGTGCATTTACCTTCTTAGACTGCCTCGTTAATCTGTTAGTATCAGGGCTTTATAGGAAGGCTTATCAGAGAATTATCACATGTGATTTGTCTTTTATGACACAGGTAGGAATAGTGTGGCAGCTGTAGCTTTTTCCTAAGAGTATAAGAAATCTTGAGTTCTCAAATTTAGTCATTTATATCTAAGAGGTGATGATCAATATGAAGTTTCATTAGTTAGACCATAACCATGTCATTTGCTTAGAAATAATGTAAACTAGAAAATCTCTTTCCCAAGAGAAGAGATCCTTTGCTATTCATACATACTTATATTAAATTAAAAAGCTTGAGGCCCACTGACATATTAGACCTATCAAAGGCCATGTAGTTTAGTATTTTTATTACCATTTCTGAAAAACATGTTATAACTATTGCCTATCAGAAATGTCATGTTCTAAAATTCTAAAATTATGTTCAGCAATAGATCTGATTTAAAACCATTTTCAGATAAGAGTCTTATCTGAAAGACTGTCATATCCATGCTTGCCTCTGTCCATCTCAGACAGACAGTTCTTTGGGCACATCTTGTCCTGTCATGTTGTTCTTGTAGGTCACATTTTTAGCTGCACAATTTGTTTTTTGCCTATTTTCCACTTAGGTAGATTTCCACTAAAACAAAACTCCCTAAGTCCCTCAAACCTACTAATCTAACCGTAATTTTGCTTTTGACATAAAAGATGAAGTTTTCTGAGTGACAGCAAATGCATATTAAACATCATTTCATTAGTTTTGATTACATGTTCTTTTGTCTTTTGTAATCAGAAGTAGTTAAGTTTTTTAGGCAACTGCTTATATCAACTAAAGTTGTTATACGAAAAACATAGGTAAGAAAGGCATACCAAAACGTACAAATAAGTAAAAATTAGTTCCTCCATTAAGGTAATATTCATGTCAGGGTGCAAGAGTGATCATGCAGGGGAAGACTGCTTTCTCCACAATCTGGCCCTTGATAACATCCTCAATGAGGTGCCTCCCTGACTCTGTGGCAGAAGGCAAGTCCCACCTCTTTGTGAATCTTATTTTATGCACACTGGTAGGCAACCAACTGAATTCTTCAGCCCCAAAAGAAGAGAATTTGCCTGCACAGAATAATGAAATATGATCTCTCCCTTCTGCTAAATATTACAAATTGAAGAGAATAAATTCTTAATCTAAATTCTGCAAGTGGAAAAGTAAAATCTATTTAAGTCACTAACAAATAGAGTGATTTTAAGGTTTCAAACTTCACTACAGCAGAGGTTGAAATAAAGTTTAAATGTGTCATTTTAGTCATTGCAGAAATGAGCATTTTGTTACACCTTAAAATGGTTTTTAAGAAAAAAATAGTATTATAGCTTGGTAAAGTCAGCTATGCAATACACATTGACTATATCTAGAAAGAGCCTATTTAAATGTCATGTAATTTTAATTTTTTATAAACAAATGACATCTGTCTTAGAATTTCTGTGCAAAGAAAAATGAAAATGTAGTTAAACACACATAGGTAGACAGCTTGACAAAGTATAGACATGTTGACATGACTAAAACCAGTCAACTTAAAGGTGATTATTTCATCTAAGATTTAGAATCAAAGTTAGTTTTAAAATAATGATCTGAAGATTAAAGAATAGAAAAATCTATATTATCATTCTGAATTAAAAACTGATTGTTTCATTCTGGCCAGATAGCTCAGTTGGTTAGAGTGTCAACCTGATATTCCAAGGATGCAGGTTCAATCTCAGGTCAGGGCACAGATAAGCAGCAACAGATGAGTGCATAATTAAGGGGAACAACAAATCGATGCCTCCCTTTCTCTCTCTTTTTCTCTTTCTGCCTTCCTCTCCCTCTCTAAAATCAATAAATTAAAAAAAAATTTTAACTGTTTCTATCATTATTTAGACCACAATTGTGTTTTAAAGTACTCATAAGGTTTATTACCTAATTAGATTCAACTTAGCCATATACAGTGGCAATGTGGACCTGAACTATTTGATGATTTCAATTTAACAAAGATGAAGAAAACAACCTCTGAGCAGTTTCATCCCAGAACTTGCACTTTCCTTGCTGCTGGTGTGGAAGCATTTAGGTGAAACCAATGAATACATTGGTCCTGTCCAGCTCTGCTGAATGAAGGCAGACTCGGAACAAATCCAGCCAAATGAGAAGCCAGAGAAATGTGAATGTATACTAAAGTAGCTCAACCTCCAACTTAACTTATATTAATCAACTTACAGATATTCGTATTATAATTGTCCTTTGTTAGATAGGATATCAACTAGATTGAGGAATATTATCATTTGCAATGATTGTACTGGTTTAGAATATAGGATTTTACTTCCTAAAACATTTCACTAAAATGCTCCTTTCAAAAAAAAAACAAAAACAGCTAGGAGTTACTACGGAACTCAGGTAGAGGTTTGGGGCAAAGGGTAAATAGAGTAGTTTCAATGTAGTATAGGCCAGAGAATAAGGCTGTCACACTAATAATGTAGAACCACACTTAAAATGGCAAAAATCATACATTCAAGGAGATTCAAAGCTCCTCATGTGTGGTAGTGTGGCAGGAAAAGAAAGCCCCATAAAAGTTTCTATGATCTGTAGTTTCTTTGATAAATAGCATTCTCTGTAACACCTGCAAGATTTATTGGGAAAAAGCTGAGTGAAAGTTATTTTTAGATAAGGAGCTGGGCAGACATTACCAAGGTAACGTTATCTCAAGGCCAAAACGCTGACCTTCATTTTGCTTCTGCCTCTGTATGCTCGCTTGCTTTTAGCAGTTGTTCCCCCTCCCTTTTGCCTTGTAACAAGCATATAAAGGAAACTTCAATGGGCCTGACTTTGGGCTCAGGATTTGGAATTAACCCCTGGGCCACGCCCCCCCCACCGCCCCCTGGGTAATAAAATTTGTGCTTTGTTATCTCTCCACGTGTGAAAGTGATTTTCCGCAACAGTAGGATCATCTCCACACTGGCTCCTCCCCACATTGTTTATATCAGCTCAATGACCCAGAAGCATGTACCCATTACCATCATGTATATCTTTTGTCCTAAGTAAATGCTTCCTTCTATCATGAAAACAAACATAACACTAACTCATGAGGGTCTTGGACTCTCACATCCTATTATATAGGTTCTTGATATACAAAAATAAGTACCTCAGATTTCTCAATTTTATAGATTTATAATGATCTGGTCTTTTAAATTCAGTTCTCACTGCCATCAAGATAAGGGATAATCTACATTATACTGACAAAGAAAGAATAAAGTTCACTGATCCCATGAAAAAGTAAACTTAAAAGTTTAGCTTCAACAAAACTAATAAATTCAGTTAAAATACAAAATGGCAAAATTACTAAAATTTTACATGACAGATATCTGTAAGAAATTACATGAGAAGAATCACATAAACTGCTGCTGTTCAGACACATACACTCTTACTCAGGAAGATATAGAACCCAAAATATAACCATCAAATCATGACCCTTCAAAGACATTTAAAAAAACAAACAAACCTGCAAATCACTGATATTCAGATTCAAAGGCATGGATTACTGATTCTAAGTCAGATCTAATAATCTAGATAAAATAAAAATCATTTTTTTTCATTGAGCCTACTGAGTCTCAAGCAAATACACTAATCTGTCCTCTTGTCTTTAAATTCCAACTTTCTTTTCTTACAGCTTTTTCATTATATCTTAGCATACCTGATTTTTATACAAGGTTTCCTTCAAGCTTGTTAGAGCATGAATACGAACATCCACATTTTCATGTTGAATTGCTTTCATAGATAGCTGAAGAGTTGTCTGAAGATCAGTACTCTCAGATGTTTCCTATATAAAGAGCACAGAGAGATACACCTAATAATTAACTTCAGGAACCATTTGGAAGGCCTAGAATCCCTCTAGAGTTATCATTAAAGTAGTTAAATTTTACCCTTATTAAAAGCAGTTTTAAAATGTAATTTTCATCTCTCCCCTAGTATAGTATAGGTCATTTTTAGTAAATCTCAGGGAAAAGGATTTCATTTTAAAATCTTTAAAGCTGGAGAAATACATTTTTCATCTAAATAAGAATTTACTTATCTTAAAGAAATCTTTCTTGGTAAGATACACAAGTTTCCCTTAACTTACAAAGGGCTACATAGCCTTGAACCAGGTCTACAGATTATGCACATAATTCACCTCTTCCTTACTTGACCACCTATTTTCTTATGATTACGATGAATTACCCATTAAAGACATATGGCCTTCAGAACAAATCATGGGGTCTTTAGTAAATACCTCTGTTACCACAACCCAAAGTCAGATATCCCACTTGCTGCCCTAAAATTCTATAGAACCACCATTAATATTTTCATGACTTCAGAGTTCACTGGACTTCAAGATGATGGAACTGTAGATTACTGCCCTTCAGTAAGATCTGAATTTCCATACCATAGTTTATAGCAAGCATAATTAGCATCATACTACAGCTTTTCCTTCTTTATTCAGGGCATGCAATTATGGTAGCTTCTTGTTTGGGGGACTATAAGTAGGACACATTGACCTAGGTAGTCAAGGCACAAGAAATGTATTTTTTGCTCTGTGTTCTATTTGATGCTACTATATCTTTGACCTAAATGCTAAAACTGCCTTCTAAAAATCATGATTCATGATAGGATTATCTAGTCACCAGAAGTTAGCCATCAGAATATGACTATAGCCCTGGCTGGGTGGAGCATTGTCCCGCACACCGAAAGGTTGCGAGTTCAATCCCTGGTCAGGGTACATACTAGGTTGTGCGTTTGATCCCTGGTCAGGAAGGGTACAGGAAGCAAGTGATCGATGTTTCTCTCTCACATTAAAGTTTCTCTCTCTCTCTCTGCCTTTCTCTCTAAAACCAATAAATGTATCCTTGGGTGAGGATTGAAAAAAAAAGAATGACTATGTTCTCCCTAGATATGATTCTAAAGAATCCCTTTCAATATATTGGAACTTGGGAATAATTTTGTGTCAATGATCTCCTAAACCATAAATAAAAGAATTAAATACCTTTCTGTATTCCTGTAGAACTGCCTTTATCTTTTTTAATTCTAGATGGTCAGGTAAAAAATATATTTCATGAAGAAAATCTTGTACAGCATCCCTAATAGTCAGTTGGAAGAAAAAGAATTATTTGCAAAGAGAATGCACACTAAAAATATATAAAGCAGAAACTGAAACTACAGCCAACTTAATGCATATTTAAAAGTACCAGATTATTATTGACATTGAAAGTGTTCTTCCTAACCATGTCTAGGATGCTCAGCTAATTAATAGTGGCAAATAATCACACCTAAGAAAAGAAAATAACCCTGTGGCAGTCTATTACACTAGTGGCTGTAAATAAACTGTACTTCGTGGTACACATATCCATGCATATTCACTAAATCTTTAATTTGTGCTTGGTGTATGACCTGCTTTAACAAACAATATGGCAAAAGAGATGCTGTGCCCAGTTTGGGGCCTAAATGTTAAAAAAGTCTGACAACTTCTGGCTGGGTCTGTGCTCATAAGAATCCTGTGTCACCACATAAGAAGTCTGGCCACCAACAAGAAGAGATTACATGCACATGGAGAGGCTATATGGAAAGAAAGGCTCTGAGATTACAGGGAAAAGGGGAGAAGTCAAGCCAAGTCTACAAGGAGGCTGACTGCAGTCATCCCAATGACCATTCACAAGACCAGCCAAGGAATCAACCAGCTGAACACAGCCCAGATTGCAAATTTATGAGTAAAGTGCTCATCTTTTTAAGATACTATGTTTTGGAGTGTTTTGTAATGCAGCAATAGATAGACAAGCCAACTCCAAAATAAACTCTCCTAAAGAATTTTAGAGAAAAAGTCAACTCCTATTGAGCAACAACTTTTAATTTGCTTCAAATATAATACTCTAATCCTTCTGGGCCCAAATAAAATGTTTTTAAATTCTAGTCTTCATTAACTCATGCAACAAACCTGCATAAGTAACTACTACGTGTTACTATATGCTAGACGCTGAGTTTGTAACAATAAAGAAAGCTGAAATAATTCCTTCATTCACAGAGCTAAAGATCTTCTATCTAGCACTGAGTGAGAGAATTTTTTTCATTTTTTAACAGCTTTATTGACATAGAAATGTAAAGTGTACATATTAGAAGTATACAATTTTATGTTTTGATATATCTATATGTTCATGAAATCATTACCACAGCTCTCCCTCCCACTTATCCCCTCCCTCCCCAGGCAACCACTGATCTCCTTTGTTTCAGTACAGATTATTTGAGTTTTTCAGTATTTTATATAAATAAAATTGTACAGTATATACTCACTTTTGTCTATCTTCTTTGAATTAGTATATAACTTTGCTATTTATTCATATTGTTTCATGTATCAGTAGGTATTTCTTGTTATTTGTGGAGAATTTTTTAATGATATGAAAAAGGTAGAGAAATGATTCCTTTATAATAAACAGCAAAGATATACTATTTTGTATGATAATCCAAAAAGTATTTGAAAAGTGATCTAGATCAGTGATTATGCTGTTTGATACTATGTCCATGCACAAAATATCAAAAATAAAAATTTAATTAAAAAAAACTACATTAGCCTTTACTTCTGTATTTTCTCCCTAATTGGACAGTTACTAATAATTGCCATTTTTTACCCTGTATAATGTACACATTTTTGCCCAAAATTTTGAGGGGAAAGTAAGGATGCACATTTTACATGAGTAGTACTAATTCTGTATCTATATAAATGTGTTTAATTCTTTTATTTATACTTATGCATTAAAAGCGTAACTGTAGAAAGCAACAACCAAATCCATATACAAAATAATACCCTGGAATATGATAATCAGTTTTGTTTCTAAATATAAATAAATAAAAAATAGAATTAAAAAATTAAAATTAAACAGTTTTTTTCTGAAAGTTTGGGCCAAGAACGTAGGTGCACATTATACACAGCAAAATACAGTAATGAGAACAGCAACAGTATATAAGTAGTACTTAAATGCTAACTTTTCAGAAAGAAATGAACCATGATACACAAGAAGTGCAAAAATGGAAGTAATTTTTAAATGTATAGGAAGACATGCTAGGCTGAAAAGTACCTGCAGTGAATACTAAAAATAGAAAGGAATAATGTCTGTTCTTGCAAAAGCACCTGGATTGGTAACAGCCTAGTGCCTATTTTAGAAAATCTTGGGAAAGGATTTTAAGAAAAAAAATGTGGCCAGATTTTGAAAAGCCTTTAAGGTCAAGACAAGCAATTTGGAATTTGTCGGTTAGGAAATGGAGAACCACAAAATATCTCTATGCTAGAATGATACAAATAAACAAATACTTTTAAATATGAATGATATAAAACATATAAAAGCTTAAATGAAGGGAACTGGTTTGAAAGGTAATCTACTGAAGTAGTAAGAGTTTCAATTAATATAAGCTATAGAAAGTAAGTGAATATCATGGTACTCAACTATCTGCCTTTTAACTGTGAGAAGAAAGGTAAATTTACCCCACCTTTTTTCAAAATTGATGAAAAATAATTGAGTTGCTGACCTACTAATTAATTTAAAATTATTATAATGGAAGCCATGTTACAACTGAAATAGCATCAGTTCAATATGTATTGTCTTCACGTACGTCAATTACTTTTGTTTATTGGTGAACTCTAAATTTAAGCCATTATTATATGAAATGTTAAAGGGACTTATTTAAGAAAAAGAAGACCAAAAGTATGAACATTAAAATGACAATAAATTCACAATGATCAACAATTGAATCTAAAAAACAAACTAAGCAAACTAGCAGAACAGAAACAGAATCATAAATATGGAGATCACTTGGAGGGTTATCAGTTGGGAAGGGGGAAAACGGGGTAAAAGATGCAGACATTAAGAAGTACAAATAGGTAGGTACAGAATAGACAGGGGGATGTTAAGAACAGTATAGGAAATATAGAAGCCAAAGAACTTGTATGTACAACCCATGGACATGAACTAAGGGGGATAGGGGGGTTGCCAGAGAGAATGGGGGGTACTGAGTAGAAGGAGGAAAAAGGGGAAAAATTGGGATAACTGTAATAGCATAATCAATAAAATATATTTAAAAAATAAAAAAATTGAAAGTAGAATAAAAAAGAATATGAACAGTTTCCACATTATCAATAGTAAGTAATCCTAATACCTTGAGACATAAAAATACAGTAATAAAAAGTTGCTTGCTATCTTTATTAACAATTTTGGTTACAATACCTGTTTTCAATTATGAGGTAGTGAAATATAGCTGCAGTTTCTTTAGGCTGGATATGTATGAGAGGTAACAAAGCTACAATTACATGACTAAGAAGGGAGCCTAGATAAGCATGATCCAGGCAACGAACAAAGCAGTCCCAAGCTCTATGAAAAAAAACAAATTAAAGTTAAAAGTTTACTATTTTTATTATTTGTAAAGCTTCATCAATGAGTTATTAGCTAAATAATAATGATACAAGATATCTTATACAATAAGTAAATACAATAAAATTACAAGAAATAAATTTACAAGAATTAAATTTTATTCATTTTACAATAAAATTACAAGATATCTATAAAAATGGAATAAAGATCAGCACCGTATACTCAAATAATTTATTAAGTCAAAAAAAGAAGGTGAAAACAGTGCTTATAGTATGCTACCTTTTGGGGCAAGGTTAATATGAAAAAATATATGTGTGAGTGTGTATGCATTTGCTTACATTTTTAGAAAGGGGGTTATACGAAAATTAATAGAAATAGAAACCCGCAGACTTCAAGCATGGAAACTAGATTCTCTGAGTGGACTTTAAAACAAATTTTAATTTGGGACAACGTAAATGTGTTATATGATTTTGAAATTTAATAAAATAAAGGGTAAAAACAATCTCTAAAAACTTTAAACAAAATGAAATGAATAAACCTAACTTAGTGGTACCTGCACAGAAAACAGTTATTTCACATGACTTTAAAACATATTATTCTGACTGTACATCTACAATAACTTACAGTCTAAGGACAAGTAGAACCTCCAAGAAGTTCAAACTGCATTCAGTAAACTGCATTACTGTTAGCAGTAATATTTATATTAGATTACTAATCAGCAAAACCCTACAAATCTCTATGGCCTAAAAGTAATGTGAAGAGGGGACTTAAGGAGTAAATCTGTTGATAAGAGATGCTTAAGGTACCAAACAAATGTGCACCTTATTTGGATTCTGATTCAAACAAACCAACATCTTTGGGAAAAACATTTTTGAAACAATTGGGGAAATCTGAATATAGAATGAGTTTAGATGATATTAAAGAATTCCTATTAAGTATAATAACTCATGATAGTTACATCTGAGATATTTACAAGTACAATAATGTAATACTGAGGTTTTCTTTAAAACATTTCAACTAACAAAAACAGTGCAGGTGGAAGATTACATAAGATTAGCAATGTTGATAACTGCTGAGGTTGAGAAATGGGTGTGTAGAGATTCACAACACTATTCTATTTCTCAGTATGTTAAAAGACTTCATAGTAAAATGGTTTTAAGGAAGTAAACACATTCCTTTTCAATACAAATAGCCTTTCTATCTTCACTATTTATGATTTGAACCCAATTTCCCTCTAAGAGATAAGGATTCAAGTCAGTGCCCCCGTGAAATATCACCTGCAACACAATTCAGGAAAATCATCCTTGAATCGAAGGCCGGTTCTCAGTGTTGTCATCATCTTCACCCTGACCGAACTGACATGTTTGGGTCCCATCAACTTCATCAAGGACATCAAACTGTTCAAGGCCTAAAAAGTTAAGTAGGGCTTTAAAATAAAGCCTATAAACAAGATGACGAGAGGAGAGGAGCCATAAAGAAAAGTACATCCCACCCTTATTTCAGAGTAGTTATCTATTCTCTGGCACACGGGGCCTAATGAATGTTGGCGAGTTCATTTTGTCCAACTTCTTAGGTAGGAATTAAAAGTTTGAAAAATACGAGTTCTGTTTTGTATTTTTTTTCCCTTGAAGGTGATTTGTTATCTTAGTCCTAGTGGTCCTCTGGCCACTGATCTTCAAATTTATTAAGAATATAATACCTGCCCTGGCTGTGGGGCTTGGCTAGTTGAAGTGTCGCCCCAATGCACCAAAAGGCTGCGGGCTGAATGAGTGGTCGGGGCACATACCTAAGTAGCAGGTTCTGAGGCATGTAAGGGGGATAACAGATCAATGTTTCTCTCTCAAATCGGCCGCGTTCATTCTTTCCTTCCTTCCCTCCCTCCCTCTCTTTTTCTTAACCCCTCTCTCCCTTGTTTCTTTCTAAAATCAATAACGATATCTTCAGGTGAGGATTAAAAAAAAAACACCTATTGTTTAATTTTCTTCATCTCCATCCCAAACTGCTATGCAATACATACATTTTCATCCTAATGATACTAAATTCAAGATACTTTGAATTTAGTAAAACAAATAAGTACTGATGCTATACCCAGAAAATGATACATATATTCTATTGTATGTGAAACACAAAATCAGACTTGTATCAACAACTCCAGATTCTAATGAAGGGGTAAAGAAATTCTCTAGTCAACTTTAATTATATGCCAAAACAAGCAAGCTCTTTATGGTTTGAAACAAACTCTAGTTTTCTAAGAAAAGAGATTCTCTCACTTGGGACAACAATAAGAAAGATTCCATGTAGATGAACTGGAAGTTGCTTGGGAAATTAAATTTACCTATTAACATAAAAGAACAAGTACTGGTTGCTTAAGTTTAAAGAATTTAATATTGTATCATGTCTTTAAAAACTCCTTAAGGTTATTAAGACAAGGATAATTCAGACTGAAAATTCTACTCATGGATTTTTACTATAATTTTACAGACTGCAGAGATAGAAAGCAAATCAATATTTAAACTTCTAACATAATCTGTGGACAAAAATTTCCAGTGGTGACCAATTGTTATAGCAATCATAATGAAACTTTACTGTGCCTAATGCATTTAAACATAAACTGACAAATAACTGAAGTTACTTTACTCGCTAAAGATGACCTAGCATTTTCGGTCTTCAAAAGCACCATGGGCCATGACCCACATCAGGCTAATGTGGACCAATACATTCAACTATGCAACTTTTTTTTGTCTATCAGTAATTGTTGGTCTCTTTTGCCCATTGAACTAGATGTTGTGATAACGTGAGATTGAAACTTCTGGGGCCATCACCTGGCACTTTAGCATATAGCCAATCCAGGGGAATTCAAGCTAAGAAATTAATTCTGAGAATACTGTGTCCAAAATCAAGCAATACCCAAAGCTATATTATCCCTCTAGTTTTAGTTTCAGGGCCAACAAATTCCTTTAAGTCAGTTTGGGTTAGGCTTTCCATCCTTATTAAAAAAACACACACACACACACTGTAATGATACAATTCCTCCTTTAAGACTCCCCAATAGCTTTTACAAGTTGTTCAGCAATACAGAATATCATGTTTTATTATTTCTTGTCTTTGAATGTTTGTAGATACTATCAGAAATCATGTCTCCTACATATTCTATATAAATTTTATTCCAGCACTTTGAGACTCAACTATCACTACCTACCATTTTCTTATCTTCAATGCCAACACTGGAGCTCAGTAACTGCATGTTAAAAAAGGCCAAAATGCCCAACAACTTGGGCTGCAAATAATCAGCCTAAGGAAAGAAAATATAAAACAGGTATTATACACATTTTAAACAGATCAAATTCCATAAACCAAAAATTTAATTATTTAACTAGCATCATTTCTATTTTACCTAGTATAACAGAAATAGACACCTGGTGAATTAAGTTTCTCCAAATGCATATATTTTCACATCTAATATTTTTAAAAATTTGTGAAATTCATTTGTAACCACCATGACAAAATATGACTAAACAGTACTATGTAAGGAAATTATGAGCTTTTGAAAGTTCCAGCCAAGATGGAGGCGTAGGTAGAAACCCTTCACTTCCTCACACAACCTAAAAGAGGATTATGACCAATCTAAAATCAATAAACAATCAGAAGCACCACAAAAATCAAACTGCATGGAACTCCGACAACCAAGGAATTAAAGAAAAAAATCAATCAGAACAACCAGACTGGTAAGGCAGTGGACGGCTCTGGGGCATTCAGAAAAACCATGGCTAGGCGGCACATGTGGCAGGCGAGACTGGCTGCTGCTAGGCTGCAGGCTACGAGGGTGGGGCTAACTTATGGGGAAACTGAGACTCAGAGTTGACTGTGGACTACTGCAGTGGCCTCGGTGGGAAAAACTCCCAGTCTCACAGGAGAGTCAGTTGGAAAGTGCGCCAGAGACAAGCAGGCGAGCTGCATTGTTCCCTTTCTGGCCCCTCCCCCACAGGCAGCATGGCAGCCAGCAAAGAGGTTTGCCCTGCCCAGGTAAATGCCTAAGGCCCTGCCCCCTTACAATTTATCAGGTGTGCCAAGACAAACAAATATGGCCCAAATGAAAGAACAGAGCAAAACCTCAGAAAGAGAACTAAGCAATGAGGAGATAGACAACCTAACTGATAGAGAATTTAAAGCCCTGGTAATCAAAATGCTCACAGAGCTGATTAAGTTTGGTTGAAAAATGAAAAAACAAATGAAAGATACCCAAAATGAAATAAAGCAAAATATTCAGGGAACCAACAGTGACAGGAAACCAGGACTCAAAGCAATGATTTGGAATAAGAGAATGGAATGAGCATCCAACTGGAACAGAATGAAGAAACAAGAATTCAAAAAAGTGAAAAGAGACTTACAAACCTCTGGGACAACCTGAAACATTCCAATATCTGAATCATGGGGGTGCCGGAAGGAGAGGAACAACAGCAGTAAATTGAAAACTTACTTGAACAAATAGTGAGGGAAAACTTCCCAGATCTGGCAAAGGAAATAGACTTCCAGGAAGTCCAGGAAGCCCAGAGAGTCCCAAGGAAGTTGGACTCAGGGAGGAACACACCAAGGCATATCACCATTAGGTTACCCAAAATTAAGAATAAAGAGAGAATCCTAGAAAAAGCAGGAAGAAGGGAGAGAGTTGCCTATGGAGGGGTGCCCATGGAGCTGTCGGCTGATTTCTCAGGGGAGACCTTGCAGGTGGCAGGGCAGGGAGTGCTAGAAAGAAGTATTTGAAGTCATGAAGGGCAGGAACCTGCATCCCAGATTGCTCTGTCCAGCAAAACTTTCACTTGGAATGGTGGGCTGGGGGTACACAGATGGAGTGCTTCTCAGATACAGTCAGGTTAAAGGAGTTCATCATCACCAAGCCATTATTATATAAAGTGTTGAAAGGACTTATCTGGGAAAAAGAGGATCAAAAATATGAACACTAAAATGACAACAACCTCACAACTAAATGAACCTAATGAACCTAAAAGAAAAGAAAAACAATGAAAACAAAAACTGGGCAGATGACTAGAACAGGAACAGAATCAGGGAGGTGGACATCGAGTAGAGGGATTTCAGTGGGGAGGGGGAAGGGAGGAATGGCGGGGAGAAGGTACAGGGAAGAAGCATAATTAGTAGGCATAAAATGGATGGGTAGAGATAAAAAATGGTATAAGAAACAGAGGACTCAAGGAACTTATGTGTACGACCCATGGACATGAACTTGGGGGGAGGAGAATGCTGGAGGGTTGGGGGAACAGGGCAGAGGGGGGTAAAGGGGGAAAATTAGGAGAACTGTAATAGTATAATCAATAAAAAATACTTTAAAAGTGGAAATCATGAGCTTTTGAATTCTGCACTAGGCTGGGGTGGGATCCTCAGGATCTGATTCACATCAGAATTCAGAGTAGAGAGAATATTTATCCTAAGAATAAGAAAAGATAAGTGACTGTCATTCTAGAGCATTTAGATCTATGCTGGAAAAAAAAGGTATCTTGCCAGAACAATGGTCTGACACAGGGATCAATATCCCCTAAAATAATAGTGGCAAAGTAATGGAAGGCTATGGACATCAATAGATACAGACTAGGTATCACTGACTCTATGTAGCACTTTGGATTCTTTCTTGAAAGAGGGTCCTAAAGGAGAGAGTTTGGGCTTTACATCAATCAGACCTGGGTTTGAATCTCAATTTTGATAATTCCTAATATGTGATTTTGAATGAGTTACTTAACTCCTTTGACTCTTTCAAATGGGAACAATTAAAGCACTTACTACATAGAGTTGTAGAAATTAACTAAGATAACATGCATCAACCATGAAGACTACAGTAAAGAGTTAAACAGATTAAATTGTTAATATTACAACTGCGAATGTCAGTAATCTGCAAAAAAATATTCCTCTCTTTCAAATTCTTTATATACAGGCAGGAAAAAGAAAAAGAACTGTGGAAGAGCAGCAATTAAAGTATTTTCTAACTCTGAAAGAAAGTTGCATTGCTTGATGGTGAGGCACCTGATTTCGGGATTCCCAGGTTACATACACTGCCAAGGGGAGGGACAGGATTGGAGGATGTGTACTAGCACATAGTAGAAAAGAAGTTAGGTATCCAACATGTCTCTCCAGATTAGATGCTGGGATAAACTTTTCTCTTGCCAAGTACAGAGAATCATCTGTCTTTCAATCTTGAATTACATGTAATTTGCAAACTTATGATTTGGATTAAGACTTATTTTTAGGCTTAATAATCCATAATCACATGGTACCAGATCCTGCTTCTTAAAGTAACAAGGAGACATAGATGATACTTACATAGTCTATGTCAACATTCTAATTTTTTAAAAATACTTTTCATCTTTTTTAAAGATTTTATTTATTTATTTTTAGAGAGGGAAGGGAGGGAGAAAGAGAGAGAGAGAAACATCAATGTGCAGTTGCTGGGGGTTATGGCCTGCAACCCAGGCATGTACCCTGACTGGGAATCGAACCTGCGACACTTTGGTTTGCAGCCCGCGCTCAACCCACGGAGGTACGCCAGCCAGGGCTTAAACATTCTAATTTTAAAGCCCTTGCATTAGACAAATAATTCATTCATCTACCACACACCAAATGTTTATTATCTACACCTAGAATACTATGCCAGGTTTGGGTGTAACAAGATAAGCAAAGTCACTTTCTCCCTACTAATATGAGTGGAGGACATTAAATAATATGTAAATATGGTTGCAATGAGTACTATATAGAAATCAACATAATCACATGATAGAGTAGAACTGGGATAAGGAAATTTAGATAGGGTGATCTGGAAACTCTGAGATCTAAAGAATGAGAAAGATCCAGCAGATTATTCTAAGTATTATTATTCCAATAGACTATCTAGTGTAAAGACTATGAAGCAGGAAAAAGCTTGACATGCTAATAGATGCTAAAAGATACTGAAAGACAGTGAGAAAGGAAGAAAAGAGCTGTACAACATGAAGGTGGAAAGTTATATCTAAAATCACATATAGCTTTATAGATTTTACTTAAAGAACAATGAAAACCACAGAAGGAATTTACTTCAGCAGGGGAATGATACGAGTTTAAGTTGTGCAAAGATCACTTTGAATGCTGTGTAAATAAGTGAATGTAGATATAGAGAGGGAAGAGTGAAGGCAGAGAACAGGTAGCAGGTTTTTGCAGTTATCCCAGAGAAAGATGATGGTCACTTGTATGAGGGTAGTGACAACAGAGATGGAAAGATATATTTTGGAGAGAGATGTGATAGGATTTATGGAGGGCTCATGACTGATTCCCAGGTCTTGATTTGAGCAAGTAGGTTAATATTGGTACCATTTCCTGAGACAGGAAAGACTAAGAGATAAATAGGTTAGGAAGGGAAAATAAAGATTCTTACTAGACATGTTATATTTAGACTTGTTTGAGAGGCCTATAAGATAGGCAAGCAGAGATGACAAAGAGAAAGTTGGATAAGCTCTGTCTGCCACTTTCTCTCACCCTCAGATCCGTTTGCTGCCCTTTTCTGCACTGCTCTGTGCCTGGAAGGCTTACCAGATTTCATCACTCAACATCCCTTTCCCTCTGGCTTTCGTCTGAATTTAGTCAACAGGGAACACCAATGGAGGAACCAAGGGCAGGAGGAAAGAGCATGGGTTTAAATGCTCTGCTCCTTCTAGGTTTTGAGGTGGTTCTGCCAATGGCTACATCCCCCTATAATGAGAGATCTCCCACAATACCATGGTTTTAGCTCTCAACCAGGTTCTAGTAACACCACTTCTTATCCTTGCCCAGGACTAATGGGAGCATAAGTTTTGTGGTCCCTGGGTTCCCTAACATTCCCTGCTCATTCTCTTAACTTTGCCAATGACAATAAAAATAGCCCCCTTAAATTGAATTATTTTCAGTTAAAGATTTTTGTGTGTACCATCTGTTTCCTACCAGGACCTCACTTGTATAAATCCATAAGTACAAAATGCTGGAGAGGTCTGGACTGGAACTTCAACTATGAAATCACCAAAATATAAATCATACTAAAGCAAAGGGTCAAATGAGACCAGATTCTCTTTCATTTAGGGAGAGAATGTTGATAGAGAAAAACAACCGATTACATAGTCTTAAATCAATCTAACATTCAGAGGATAAAGTACAGTAGAGGAAAAGAGCCAATAAAGACTAAAAATGAGCCCTGGCTGGCGTAGCTCAGTGGATTGAGCACGGGCTGCAAACCAAAGTGTCGCAGGTTCGATTCCCAGTCAGGGCACATGCCTGGGTTGCAGGCCATAACCCCCAGCAACTGCACATTGATGTTTCTCTCTCTCTCTCTCTCTTTCTTCCTCCCTTCCGTCTCTAAAAATAAATAAAATAAATAAAATCTAAAAAAAAAGACTAAAAATGAGGGGACAGTGAAGCAAATCAAGAAAATGTGTTATCATAGGTGGGAAGGGGTATGCAGGGTAGAGGGGATTGAAGGGGGAAAATGGGACAACTGTAATAGCATAATCAATAAAATATATTTTTTAAAAAAGAAAATGTGTTATCACAGATGGATTGAAGGAAATAGATGGATATAGGAAAGGATCATCAGTTGCACTGAATGCTACTGAAAGGTTGAATAAAATAGAAAAAGAGAAGTCACTACTGGATTTGACAGCAGTAAGACTGTTTTTGACCTTGACAAGTTCAGCAGAATGAGGACAGAGTTAGACTAGAATGAGCTAATGAATGAAAAATTCATAATGAATGAATGGAAAAGGAGAAAGCAGAGACAGAAACTTCTCAAGGTATATTGCTGATAATCTTGAGAGTCTCTTGAAGGAATCAGGACAATCAAAAGGGAAAAAGAATAACAAGCCTAAAGATATTTTATATTTTTTTCAGATGAAAAAATTAGATAGTAAAGTGATTTCAGATACAAATTTAAGATAGGGAAAGGTAAAAGGGATAACATATCCTCTAACTTCCCTTAAATCTAACAATGGATTTAAATATACTCAATAGTTAGAACTGATAAGGTTAATGTGTTGTGCCAAGAAAGGAGTAATTGGGGGAAGCCACAAATGTAGTCCAATCTACAGTTCATAAGTAGTAAAGAAAAATATATTTTTTTTATTTTTCAGTGAAAAATACAATCCAAATCATTTAAAAATGTGTATTTTTCAATGCTAATATATATTGTTTGTTAATTCCTTGATGTAACCATCAATTTCAATGATCACCCTTTTCAAAATAAAAATCCCAGCCCTGACTGCTATGGATCAGTTGGTTGGGCATCATTCTGCAAAGCAAAAGGCTGCAGGTTCAATTCCCAGTCAGGGGACATGCCTGGGATGCATGTTTGGTCCCTGGTCAGGGCACACAGAAGAGACAACCAATCAATATTTCTCTCTCACATTGATGTTTCTCTCTCTTTCTCTCTTTCTCCCACCTTCCCCTTTCCCTAAAAATAATTTTTAAAAAAACACACAAAATAAAAATCACAATTTAAAATTTAAACTAAACTCTAGCATTTGAAAATACACAAAACACTTGTTTTTCCAATTTCATAATTCAGCTAGAAAAAGGAACGAAAAAACCCATAGAACATATTCCTTACCATTAGTTCAGGTGATATGATATCTTTTGGGCCCTGATATGGATCATCACTAGATGCAAATGAGGCAAGTATTGACAAACCATTGAAAACTTGTTGATAATGTTCTCCAATACGCAGCAATAATTCGTTATGCAATCCTTGGAAATCTTGTCTCAACAAGCTCCCCAGTTCAATATCTGTTTCATTCTAATCCAAAGACACATTTTTAAAATTTAACCTTTTTTCTCCATACTAACATCATGAAAATAAGAATATTAATTTTTAATACTCTATTCATAAATCAGGAGCTCTAGACTAGGAGATAAGATTTACTAATGATATTTTTTAACGGCAATGGAAAATTATTCTAATTTTGTTCTCTTCTGGTAGGTCTCCCATGGACTATACGTAATGAAGAGAAATGATCAGATTTTATTAGGAAATAAAATTTAAAAAGAAAGTCCTAGTTTTCTATCAGGTCTTAAAATGCCATCAACTCATTATTCATACACACATGATCCCTAAGAAGATACAGCACAGAAGCTTAGAGTACAGCCTTTCCAGTCAGACTGATGGGATTTAAATTCCAGATTTGTCACTTATTAGTTGTGCTGTGACTTGAACAAGTTACCTCATCTGACCTCTCTCTGCCTTAGTTTCCTCATCTATAAAATAGAAAAGTAATAGTATTTTTCTCTCATTAGGCAACAATGAGTGAAATGATAAAGTGTTTAGCAAAGTTTCTGATCTGTAGTAAGCACTCAATAAATACTTATTATTATTCCACCTTTATGATAGAGATTATCTTTCTCATAATAAATAAATATACTCCCTATTCAATAACTCTCATGTGAAAAGAGATCTATTGCTGGCATGTCATGAAACACATGAAATAAATTAACAAAGGAAATAGTAAAGTCACACATGCATATCATACCAGTTCTTCTGTTCCCATATAGTCTCATATTCTTCAAAACTACCATTGCTAATATGACACCAAAAAGATGCACAAGCTATAATTTTAAATTTAAAAACTAACAAGAAACTGAGCCAAATTATAATCTGCACTAAATAAAATAAATGCTAACATTATACTGTACTTGAAGGAAACTGCCTCTTCCTATAGCTATAATTACTTGCATATCATTACTCAACATCTAGTTCCAATCAATTAAAAAATTCTAAAATAAAATTAGCTGAGAACCTGATCCATGAATGAATGATTATCATTTGCCACTATGGTAAAAATGATCAAAGAAAATAACAAAATAATATTTCTATTTAATAAACCCTCTAGGCCCAGGACAAAGTTTATTTACATAATATCATTTGAACTTATGTTACATTAGGATAGGCTATACATTACCCACTCTCTACAAGAATGTTACTGCAGCTCTCCTTTAATGCTAATTTAAAGAAGGGTATAAAATATATATAAATATTCAATTACCTTTAGATAATGAAGGGCACGTTCTAATTCATCCTTGGAACAGGAACAGACCAAATGAGAAAAAATATACTTGAAGTTATTTATTAAAATCTCTCTACGATTGACATTTAGTTGTTTTCCTAAAGTTCGAATGAGAGCAGAAGCTGCAGGGCTTGCTTTGGCAGCAAGGTCAGGTAGCAGAACTTGTAATGTCCTCTGGAAAAAAAAAACACTACAATTACCAAAAAGAACATTTGTCCAGGTGATATAATACTCACATAAGCTATGTGCAAAAATATGTTAAAATGCCACACAAATTTGAAGTCCACATATGACATAGGTATTTGAATTCAGATTTACCATTTATTCATTCAACATATGTTTACCAAGCATCTACTATGATGTAGGCATTAAAGATAAAGTAGTGAAGAAACGGGCAAGGTCCCTGATGACATAGAGTTTACATAATAGGGTGGGAGAGACAGACAATAAACAAGTTAATTTATAAGTAAAGAAGATATTTTTTCATGAATATAGATTAAAATATACTCATGTTCTAAAGGTAAGTTCTAGGCCTGATTTATTATTTCCTTCCAGGATTTGACCAATTTACAAGCAACTTAAGTTTGTTAAAATATAATATATTGTAGAAAAATCCTGTATAAATCACATTATAATTTATTAGCTAAAAATAATAATAAATTTTGCCTTTGGGAAAAGGTAAGAAGAAAATCTACTCCAACCACCTTTCAAATCTCAGCCCTAAGGACTTTTCAAAGGCTTCCCAAACCACTCCATATTTCAAATTGTCATCTGAATTCACAGAAGATCATCCATAACACTAGTTTTATACTATATTACTCCAACTCCTTAAGGGTAGAAATGATCATATTAGACTTCACATTGCCAATGCAACCAATCACAGCACTAAAGACATAAGGGCTCAGTCAACTGAATTAATTAGCATTAATCAATTAGTATTAAACTTTTGAGATAGCTAACCATTAGAGCAATAACTCAAATTGGCATGAACTTAATTTTATACGAGTAATGTTATCACATCAAAGTCAAAGTCAAAATTTGAAAATTTAGTGTCTATATCCTCTTCAATGTACTTGCCAGATTTTCTTTGAAAAAATCTAGAATAAACACAAAAGATTGACTTGAAAACCTCAATTAAGTCAAATGTATTAAGTAACTTACAGTAAGGAAACGATTAAGATCAGGAAAGTCAAAAACATTGGCAATTTCGGACAAGGTATTTAGAGCCATTTCCCTCTGGTGAGCCACATCCTGTTTGCGCATCTCAGTGTTCTGGCATGGAGTACCAGGAAGTGCTGTCACCTGACTGGAGTGAAGGGATTCCACCAAAAACTAGAGCAAAATGGTTTGTTACTTTTCACACAAGGAAAAAAAATTAACTAATACTTTTTAAGGTAACATCAAGGACAGTATCAGACATTGTTCTAAACATATTACAGTACCTCAGCCCTGGCTGGTGTGGTTCAGTGGATCGAGCACTGGCCTGCAAACCAAAGGGTCCCTGGTAGATTCCCAGTCAGAGCACAGGCCTGGGTTGTGGGCCAGGTCCCCAATGAGGGGCATGTGAGAGACAACCACACATTGATGTTTCTCTACCTCTCCTTCACCCTCCCTTCCCCTCTCTCTAAAAATAAATAAATAAGATCTTAAAAAATAAATAAACCTATTACCTCAATTAATATTCCCTTAATTATTATAACAACCTAATGGAATAGATTATGCATAAATCTCACTTTTAGGTCAGTAACCAGGCTAAGTTAAGAAACTTGACTATCGCCCTGACTGGCATAGCTCAGTGGATTGAGCACGGGCTGCAAACCAAAGCATCGCAGGTTCGATTCCCAGTCAGGGCACATTCCTGGGTTGCAGGCCAGGTCCCCAGTGGGGGCCACATGAGAAGCAACCACACATTGAATTTGATGTTACTCTCTCTCTCTCCCTCCCTTCCCCTATCTAATAAATAAATAAATAAATAAATAAATAAATAAATAAATAAAATAAATAAATAAAATCTTAAAAAAAAAAAAAGAAACTTGACTATCTTGCCTAGGGTTACAATAACAAAGGGCAAAGCCAGTATTTTAACATATCCTAACTTTTCAGTCATGAAGTGAATCAACCTTTTAAGAACAAAGCACCTTATCCATAATATCAAAGCATAAAAGTTTATCATTGCTAAAGGAAGGCAACTCTTAATAGATTAACAACAGAACATGATATCCAATAATATTGGGTGGGCCAAAAAGTCTGTTATGTTTTTCCCATAAAATAAAAGACACACTTTTCATTTTCACTAATAGCTTTATTAGTTTGGATATTTTGCATATGTCGGCTATCTCCCACTATTGGCTTCTAGTGAGTAAAGGCGAGGGGTGCTGCTAAACATCTTCCAATGCATAAGACAGACTCAGTGCAAACAATTATTGGTCCAAAATATCAATGGTACCAAGAAACTTCGCAAAACACTTTTGAGACGTTTGATCAGTCACAGTACCTTCTCCATACACTGCACAAATCTTTTTTTGTGTTTCAGTTGCATTTTCACCCTTCTTATAATGATAAAGCGTAATATACTGAAAATGTTGCATGTCTTCTCCCATCTTCAGTATTAAAATGGCTGCACAAAAATTCACCAATTTTGATAAGTTTTTTTAAAGACACACTGATATGAAAGCTGTCACAATGCAATCTAACAAAACTGTTTCAAATGAAGTTAAAGACGACTAAGCACTACTAGAGCCATCATACAGAAAAAAAAACTAAATGGACTTTTTGGCCAACCCAATGATAATATGATTTTTCCCCATCTCCCATTTATAATCTACATCTTCAGTCCAAGATGCTAAAACATAAAACTGGCAAGATTTAGATTCTCTTAAACTGAATACATTGTTTTTAAAAATATATCATTTAAGGCAAGAAAAGTAAAACATATATGTGTTTTTTTTTAACTCTTAGAAAGCACTGCTATGTCCTATAGTCAAGGCCAATGCTGACTCTTACCTGACAGATGGGTTTCTTATACTGGCTGAAAAAGTTTTGCAGTTTAACACTTTTAGCTGCAACCAGAGCTCTAATTTCTGTGTATGCTGCTCCAGAGACAGATGCTGACTTGGACAGTAAGCAATGCAGTAAGTGCAAAAGTGCAAAAGGTACCAAATCTCCTTTTGCTGCCCTGAAATTGAAGAAAAAAAAAAGTTATCAATGTCTCATTGTGGAAATCCACAAACAAATGCATGCTGATATCACTTTTTTTCTCTAATATCACATCCTTCATACCACCATTTCAAACACCAGGCAAATAAAAAAAGGAGAATGACCAAAATAGGTAAGAAAGTATGTAAATGCTGCCATATATACCTTCCAATATCTCCGGTTGTAAGAATCAAGGTATCCTTCAACTCATTATTTCTTGAGATTTGGGCATGTGTATATGCTTCCTTCATTCTTAAGACAAAAAGCTATGAACAATAACATTAATTAGTTAAATTTCTAAGGCCAGGTTTATGAAAACACAAATGTTTGAAAATAGAAAATTATCAAACCTCTTTTACAAATCCATCTTCAGAGTCCAAGGACTCCAATATGTGCTTGATATTTCCACTAAAAGCCATTCTAACATCCTTGTCTGGATCTTCCATTAAATTTAATAAAGTTCCAAGAACTGTTTTTACATCTGTTTCATCTTCTCTAAAATCAAGATGCTTACAAAGATGTTCTAGATTGTCTATGAAAGCTAAAGGGCAAGAGCATATTAATACCTAATTTAACTCATTAAAATTCAGAATTTTACTATAAAAAGTATTTCAACAAATAATTTGCTACACAGAATTCTAAGCTGCCTTATAATGTCAATATTTAGTATTTAAATTTACAGAGCACACAGAATAGAGGATTAAAATGAATTTATAACTTTAAATATACTTTATATTTAATAAAAGTTTGCCTGAGGGAGTGAGGGGTGTTGGCTCAAAAAGGGCAAAGGGGGAAAAACTGGGATAACTATAATAGCATAATCAATAAAATATATTTTTAAAAAATTATAAATAATTTAATCTAATATAAGTTCTAGAATTCTTTAAGTTGTTAAATAGTAGTCACTTAGATTGTGTATGTTACCAAGTTAGACTTGAAAGTACATTTCACTAATCTGAAGAACTGTGAATTCAGGGTAATCTTAGCCATACTGTTAATACTACATGAAAAGATTTAGGAAGTCCTAGAAACTACCTATCACATACTGCTTTGAAAACTTGAGAACAAGTGGCAAAACAGAACCCAAACAAATGGAGCTGGAAAGTATTTGTGTAAATCTCATGGTCCTAACAAACCCTTAAACAATTACCATTGAAAAATGGGCAATAAGATACAATTTATAGTCCTCAGTTGTGCAATATCTAACCATTTTAAGTCCTGAAGGTCCAAGGTCATGACAGGGAACACATTAAGAAGGTCCCTGGTATCACCAAAGAGGATAAAAAATATTGAACCTGCCCTGTGGCTCAGTGGACTGAACACTGGCCTAGGAACCATAAGGTTGCTGGTTTGATTCCCAGCCAGGGCACATGCCTGGGTTGTGGGCCAGGTACCTGGTTGAGAGTTGTGCTCACTGATCTTTCTCCGCCCCTTCCCCTCTCTCTAAAAGTAAGATAAAATCTTAAAAATATATATATTGAATCTCATTACATTGAACCGAACATCAGGTATGCCCCATTATACTATCAAATCACAAGCACATTTTAAAAATCCAAATACTACTTCCCTTGTTACTTTTGTGATACGGTCATCCCATTTATAAATAATCATTACATGAGCATTGAACCAATCAAGGAAGTCTAATTTTTTAAGGCTTCAGGCTTCTGTGATAGCACAGACATTAAAAACAGAGGTTAAGTATTTAAAATATTAAATAACAAATCACTCACCAAGTTTCACTAGACTAGATACTTTTTTTTTCAGAAGGAAAAGGAATGGCTTGAAAACAGAAGCTCTTAGTCGAGAAGATGAACATTCATGTTGAGACATGACTTTTAGGCTCTTACAGAAGAGGTCAATATGCCCATGTTCAGAAAAAGGTTCTGTTAAAGAACTTGTCAAATAAAACATGCCATGAAGTGTACAGACAAGTTGATCAAGTACAGAGGCAAATTCTTTCTTAACAATATCAGAATCATCTTTGACTTTATCTCTGGGGAAAAAAAGAAAAGGTACTAAACCTTCTTACTTAATTCTGCGGTCTAATAGTCTCGCTTAATTTGTGGCAAAAGTACTAGTAAAACAAAGCCTATAAGAAAAAAATATTTAAATTCTAAAACTAAAAGCAACATTTGTTCTATTAACATCAGCATTAACGTTAATTTACATATATGATTTTTCTAGTCAAGTTATATATTCTAATTAAAATATTAATACATACATAAGAATCTTGGGAACTCGGTTACAAGAATTCTGCTTCTGCAATAAGATAAAAAATCCTTTAACACAACTAGTCCTGATTACTTCATGGGAGCTCTGCAGGGCCCAGGTGTAAACTGCTGTTCTCCATTCAAGGAATATTCTTCTTGGAAACAGTGTAAGAAGAAACACACATCGTGATTGTGCCTGTGGTGCTGAAAAATTAAGTCTATTAAATAATATTTCTAAATGTTTATTTATATACGTACACATATATGCTCATTCTTTGTTGTACAGTCAGTAACATCTCAATTACAGGTAATATTTGACTTCTGGTCAAGATGGCAGCAGAGGTAAACACAGCTTGCCTCTTCACACAACCACATCAAAATTACAACTAAAATATAGAACAATCATCACTCAGAAATATCAGGAATCGAGCTGAATGGAAGTCTCACAACTACGGAATAAAAGAAACCACATCCATCCAGACTGGTAGGAGGGGCAGAGATGCAGAATGGGTTGGTCCTACATCCATGTGTGGTGGATAAAAATTCAGGAGGGGTACCTCAAAAGCCAGGAGTACCAGCCCCACACGAGGCCTCCCAGGCCAGGGTTCAAGTGGAAAGAAGATAAGTCCCTATAACTTCTGGCTGCAAAAACCAGCAGGTATTGAGTCACTGGAAGAAATTTCTGGAGTCCCAAGTAGTTCCCCTTAAAGAACCCACACACAGACTTACTCAGACTTACTCACTCTGAGCTCCAGCACTGGAGTAGCAGCTGGAAAGGCACCATGGCATATAGAGAGGAAATGAAATGTCTGGCATCAAGGTGGGAGTTGGGCGACACCTTTCTCCCAGACAGAATAATGGCCAGAGGCTATTGTCCCTTTTTGACCCTCCCACCACACAGCCACAGAGCAGGTAGGCTGGTATCATATCTGAAACTCCACCAACCTAACCCTGGTGGGTTGGGACAACCAGGGTGTGTGTTTGTCCCACCCTGGAGATCCTCTGAGACTTCACCCCACCCAATTTCTCAACCACCCAAGCTGTGAACCATGACTTTTCCATATTAAAGGCTGGTCTTAGCTCTTGCTTCACAACTTCCTAAAACCTATCTAACAACCAACAGCCAGCCTCAGGAAGGCCCTAGCCCTCATACCTCTTGCTAAGCAGCCCTAGGCCCTAAGCTAAGCAGCCCTAGGCTAAGCAGCACTGGCAACAGCCAGCCTAAGTTCACAGCTTGCCTTCACCCAGGAATCTACAAGCCCATAACAAGCAGCAGCCATCTCATATTGCTCTATACCTCATTCAGGGTAGTCCCAGGAAAAACACACATGGAGGCTGACCTTGGCCTGAACCACCTGGGAAACTCTAAGGCCAGCACACGCACTGGACAGCCTCAGACCACGTCCAAGCACCACCACCCTGCCCCTACACAACTGATCCTCCACAGGGGGCAGAGGTTGGTGGTCAGTGTACACGGCCAGTCCTTCCAGCTTATTAGCCTGGGTAAATCTCTCCTGTTGACCAGCCAACAGAAATAAATGTTTAACAACAAGAGGAAGGAGTTCTCAGAGCACACGAAGGGCACACCTCCAGTATACAGCTTGGGTGATGGGGAGGCTGAGCCACAGGACCCTACAAGACACCTATTACATTAGGCCACTCTACCAAACTTGGGAGATGTAGCAGCTCTACTTAATACATAGAAACAAACACAGAGAGGCTGCCAAAATGAGGAGACAAAGAAACGTGGCCAAAATGAAAGAAGAGATCAAAACTCCAGAAATAGAACTAAACAAAATGGAGATGAGCAATCTATCAGATGCAGAGTACAAAACACTGGTTATAAGGATGTTCTAGGAACTTAGTGAGGACCTCAACGGCATAAAAAAGATCCAGTCAGAAACAAAAGATACACTAATTGAAATAAAGAACAATTTACAGAGACACAACAGTGGAGTGGATGAAGCCAAGAATCAATGATTTGCAACATAAGGAAGCAAAAAACAACCAATCAGAACAACAAGAAAAAAGATTCCAAAAAAAAAATGAGGATGTGGTAAGCAGCCTCTGGGACAACTTTGAGAGGTCCAACAGTTGTGTCATAGGGGTGTCAGAAGTAGAAGAGAAATTGAAAATCTATCTGAAAAAATAATGAAAGAAACTTCTCTAATTTGGTGAAGGAAATAGACATGCAAGTCCAGGAAGCACAGAGAGTCCCAAACAAGTTGGATGCAAAGAGGCCTACTCCAAGACATATAATTAAAATGCCAAAAGTTTAAAGATAAAGAGAGGATCTTAAAAGCAGCAAAAGAAAAGCAGTTAGTTACGTATAGGGGAGTTCTCACAAGACTGTCAGCTGATTTCTCAAAAGAAACTTTGCAGGCTAGAAGGGACTGGCAAGAAATATTCAAAGTCATGGAAAAGCAGGGACCTACAACCAAGACTGCTCTAACCAGTAAAGCTGTGATTTAGAATCAAAGGGCAAATAAAAAGCTTCCCAGATAAAAAAAAAAAAAACTAAAGGAGTTCACCATCACCAAACCATTGTAATATGAAATGTTAAAGTGACTTATTCAAGAAAAAGATCAAACCTATGAACAATAAAATAGCAATAAATAGATACCTATCAACAATTGAATCTAAAGAACTAAGCAAATAAGTAGAACAGAGACATTCATAGATATGGAAAGCATTATGATGGTTACCTGGTTGGAGTATGGGGGAATGAGTGAAGATGCAAGGGGATTAATAATTACAAATAGGTAGTTACAGAATAGCCAGGGCAATGTAAAGTACAGTACAGCAAATGGAGCAGCCAAAGAACTTATATGTATGACCTGTGGACATGAACAAGAGTGTGGGGGTTGCCTGAGGGAGTGGGGGATGCTGGGTAGAGGGGAACACAGGGGGAAAAATTGGGACAAATGTAATAGCATAATCAATAAAATTTAATTAAAAGCTCCCTTTCCAAAAATGAAATGTTCCAGAAAAAGGTGTATGCACAATATTCTACATAATCAGGAAAATGCAATTTAAAAATCGTACCCACCCAAGTTAAAAGAGAATTGTTTTTAGATAGTTACATCCTCAACATTCACATTTCTTCTTCTTTTTTTTTTTTGATAGCAAAAATTTTACAGAGAGGATTCGAAACAATGGGAATTCCAATATTCTGCTAGCGGGATTGTGAATTGAAGTGATATTTTTAGAGAACAATGTGACAGAAGACTTAAGGATGTATGCAAATCCTGTAACTTTTTATATGCTTAACTTGTTTTTGAATTATTAAAAATGTACCTCCTCTCACCCCAGCTGGTGTGGCTCAGGGGACTGAGTGCTGGACTGCAAACCAAAGGGTTTCAGATTCGATTCCCAGTCAGGGCACATGCCTGGGTTGCGGGTCAGGTCCCCAGTAGGGGCTGCACAAGACGCAACCACACTTTTTGATGTTTCTCTCCCTCTCTTTCTTCTTCCCTTCCCCTCTGTCTAAAAATAAATAAATAAAATCTTTTAAAAATACATACCTCTTAGTTATTGAAAATATAGAAGTATAGAAGTCCCATATAGAGATGAGTTAAACCAAAAAAAAACCAAACATAGAATTTTGTGATCACTTACAGAAGCTATCTGAAATCCTCTGGCTTAATGTTAGAAGATTAGTGGCAAATGAGGTCAATTTTAAAGGGCCATCATCAGAATGGGAATAAATCCATGGAATTGAGAGCATTCCACACAAATCTTCTAGAATATGATCTTCAAATGAAGTTTTTACTACAGAAACACACAACAAGTGATTAATTATGTCTTTTCCTTAATCATATCTACCTTTTTTTCAATAAAAACAGATGTTCTAACCATCAGATGGAATTAGAATAAATATTTGGTTAACAAGGGTTCTCAACATAGAAATGATGTTCTGAGGCCTATGGACCCAAACAAATTAAATGTGACTTCATAAAAATATACATCTATGTATTTTTAAGGACCTTGGCATTCTTCAGATGCTCCAGAAAATTTAAAAGATATAAGTAATTTCTATTGACTGAAAAAGAATAATAAATCAAAATATTACACAAATAAATTTGGAACTTGGAAATTAATGACAGCTTAACAACAGAAATCAAGTAAACTTTTGGTTATTTCAAACATTTGTACACCTTAGGCAAAAGAGATTTCTATATTGATTATTTCTAAAGGTTATTTTGATTTACTACTTATTTGTACTCACCTTGAATATAAATCAAGGCATCATATATTTTCATCACTTTATCAATAACTGCTTCCAGGTCAGGTTTCTGAACAGATTCCAACAAACTCCTACAGCTCTTAAGCACTTTTGTGTAAAAATCCAAAGACATCCAAGTTATTACTACCGGTTTCTTCTTATACTTTTGTTGACAGTCCTTGAAATTATAGCTGCAATTAATACATTTTTAAGACAAAGATTAAAATGAAGTGTTAGTCAAACCTAATATTGTAGTAAGCCAAAAGAAATTGGGAGTATAAAACTAGCATATAACTTTAAACCAATTCAAAGTAAATGCGTAAATCAATTAATGTCATTATTATTTGAAGCTTAATCTTTTCATATCTTTCTAAATCACTCTTAGGATTTGGTAATTAAAATTAATCCAGGATATTTAAATCTGGCATCACCAGACTTAAAAATGACTGAAGACTATGTCATTTTTAACTGGCTTAGTAAATCCTTTCTTAATAATAGGACAAGGGGAGACCTCAGCCTAATTACCTATTCCTTCAAGTCATTTGAAATTCCAAATTTAATGCAACATGAACTAATATTTTTTCTAATATCTCCTCCATAACTTTGGATTGGCTAGTTAAAAGAGTGAATCAGGGCAGAATAGTCAGAAGTAGATTGCTGCACAAGAAATATAGACAATATTTACTTGAAACATCAGATGGACCCACTCTGTAAAGTACATGATTTTTTAGTTTCATATATACAGCATATATGAAACTAATACAGAATAATATTAAATGTAAACTGTAATTAAAAAAATAAATGAATCAGAAAATACAGAATAAATTATCATGTAAAAAAATTAATTAACGAGTTTTGGTCTATAATGTGGCACCAAAAATAAAACTAAATCTTCAGCGAGACCTTACCCTGTTGTTTCTTCTGATAGAACAATTAACCTGTATTAAGAATACTGAGCAAACATACCTTTAACAAGTTCTAAATTCCTTCTCTTATTATCAAAGGCAAATGTTCTTTTAACTTAATGTTTGACTAAAAAAAACACTGGCTTTCAAGTTGCATAAAAATGGATTCTGCAACTTTATAAATGTGTATGCCCAGGAGTTTGGTTAGACTTCAGACCAAAAAAAGCCTCCATTTCTCTAAGTGTCAGTTTCTAATTTGTAAAGTAGGCATAATAGCATTTACCTCACAGAATTGTTGTAAAAATTAAGTTACATATAGTACTTAACACAGTACATAGAATTTACCAAGTCCTCATTAAAAAACAAATTTCTATTTCACTAAAAAGTTGTGTTCTAAGGTCACACAAATCAACTGAATGAAAGCTCCTAAACAATAAATCCAAGTTTATTACAGAAAACCCACCCAGAAAATATAAGTTGTTTTACCAGTCCATGTTTTGAGGAGAACAATGAACAGTACACAGAGCAGTCAGTTGTAGGACAACAGCAATTCCTTCTAAAGTCTCAATAACAGGATTCTTTAGACTACTGTATTCAAGGAAAATCTGAAGAGATTCAGCTTTCTGTTTCAGTGCACTCCATAATAAGCTCCTTTTGTTCATATCCACATGAGTAATTCTGTAATTATAACCACAGTATAAATATAATCACATTTAACATAAATTTGTTTCAAAGGTGAAAAATGCTTAAAACAAAAAATAACATGTAAAGTAAAGTACTGAAATTTATCCTAAGATGTAAAACAACTTTCATGGCTGTCTAAACTATGGGAATTCTTTGACCAGATGTCAAAAAAAGGTCACTTATTCACATTTTTTTTTCTTTTTTAAAGATTATATTTATTTATTTTTAGAGAGGGAAGGGAGGGAGATAGAGAGAGAGAAACATCAATGTGCGGTTGCTGGGGGTTATGGCCTACAACCCAGGCATGTACCCTGGCTGGGAATTGAACCTGCAACACTTTGGTTTGCAGCCCATGCTCAATCCACTGACCTATGCCAGCCAGGGTATTATTCACATTTTTAAAAGCTGCATTTAGATGTACAGTCTCAGATTTTTCATATATTAAGAAGTTAAACTAGACAGTAAAGACTTTCAGTCCTGGCTGGTGTGGCTCAATGGATTGAGTGTTAGCCTGCAAACCAAAGGGTCACTGGTTTCATTCCCAGTCAGGGCACATGCCAGGGTTGCAGGCCAGGTCCCCAGTCGAGGCTGTGCAAGAGGCAAACACACACTGATGTTTTTCTCCCTCTTTTTCTCCCTCCCTTGCCCTTTGTCTAAAAATAAATAAAATCTTCAAAAAAAAAAAAAAAAGACTTTTAAAAGTCTTTTAAGTATACCCTGGCTGGTGTGGCTCAGTGGCTTGAATGATGGCCTGCAGACCAAAAGGTCACTGGTTCAATTCTCAGTCAGGGCACATGCCTGGGTTGCAGGCCAGGTCCCTGCTTGGGGGGTGTGCAGGAGGCAGCCAATTGATGCTTCTCTCCCTCTTTCTCCCTCCTCTCCCTTCTCTAAAAATAAATAAAATCTTTAAAAAATAAATCTTTTAAGTAACCATATTTATCCATGAAGTATTTCATACTAGCACTATTAAAACATTTGTTCTTTGTAGAGGTAGTCAAAGAAATTCCTAAATGTTCTTTGTATATTTAAATTGAAGCACTTAACTAAAGGTAATTTTTTCTAAAGATTTTATTTATGTATTTTTAGAGAGAGGGGAAGGTAGGAAGAAAGAGAGGGAGAGAAAGATCAATGTGTGGTTGCCCTCGCATGGCCCCTACCGAGGACCTGGCCCGCAACCCAAGAATGTGCCATGACTGGGAATCAAACCAGTGACCCTTTGCTTCACAGTCCAGTGCTCAATCCACTGAGTTACACCAGCCACAGCTAAAGGGAACTTTTAAACATAAATGAAGTTTTACTGCATAGGTAAATAAAAACTGAATGAAGGTCATACTCCTCAGTCTGTTTTGTTGCTCTTTTGGACAAGTTTAGAGATGAGCTGAGTCGACGCCTTTTGGGTGATATTCCATCACTTTTACTGCTGAGGTTCTCCTGTTGAAGTTGGCACTGAATCTCCTCAATAATTTCCATACTTTCCATTTTTAAAGCTGCATAAAGTGGGCCCAACAAATACTGAGAAAGCAAAAATAAGTTCAACAACCATCTCTTAGAAAATGTTCATATTTTTCACAGACAGTGAAAACGAAGTAGGAATTAGTTGTAAGTTTTCTAAAAAAGTAAACTATTTCTGGAGTCTCATCAGGTAAAACAAAGACCTAAATTAATCTATATCATTTCACAGTCTACATATAGTTCTATAACTGGAACTGTGGTTCTATAGTTTTAGAAGGCATAACAAATCCTTCTCCCTATAAGCTGTTTTTCCCTCTATCAAAATGTCCCAAAAATATTATATTAAGGGAATTACTAATTTATTTCATACTATAAATCCAGCGAGTCTCATAGATAAAAATAAACTAAAATATTTAGTCGTTACTGCATATCTGACTATTTTATTGTACTGCCTTTCTCCCACAGTTCAAATAGAAAAAGAGGAATGATTTAACATTACTGGTACTATGTACTCATAGGTTTTCTACAAGTTATTGACAATAAACTGTCAAAAAAATCTGTTAGTGCTCAGTTTATGCAACTAAGTTAACTGACCCCCTTTTAATTAATAATGCAAAAAACATGCACACACTTCACAAATTATACCTTAAAACATTCAACTTCATTGGCAGTTCATTACCAACTTAGTGAACAAATTCTTCGGAAATCCAAGTAAAAATCCACTATAGGGAGCCAAAGTAGATTCCAAAAAACATCCCATTCTGAATGTACATTATTATTAAAGATATTCTATTCTCTCATTATTATATCTTATATATATGCATATACAAATTATGAAAAAATACTTAACCTTAAAAATGACTTACCTCTGCATCTATCTGAACTCCAAGCACATCTACGAGAGCTCTACAAATATTTCTTACATAAATCTTCCTAACTTGTAAAGCAGATTCATACCCCACTGGCACAGATTTAAGGAAATACTGCAGTAAGTGACAAAAAGCTCCTTTTAGCGAATGAGACTTAAGCCGCATAAGCACACCGTTTTCAAACATGACAGAGAGTTTTTCCAGCAGCATATTTAAATAGACAGGTTCAATATTTCTATAAGCTTCTGCTTCAAAAGCAAATAGTGTCTTTATGAGCTTTGATAATGGACCTTCATAGATTTTCAATTGGTCAGCATCCATTTCTACAAGATGTTTTAATAATTCCAAAAATGAGCTGAAAAAAGTGCTGGCTGGTTGTGCTGGAAGTCCTCCAAGCTCAAATAGCTCAGTTAAAAAGCTAATTGCCAAAGATTTAATTTTTGGACTACCATACTCCAGGAGAACACAACCTATTCTCCAAAATAAGAGTTCTTGCCTTCTAAAAAACACAACAGCAATAATACGAATGAGAACTGTTAACAAAGTGACTTCAATAAATTCTAAATTTTGCATGTTCATGAACTGCAAAGGAGCTGGCTGTAAATATCCCACATGTTCATCTAATTGACTTAAAAATCGGCTAACTAGCACTGGCCATTCCACAATGTGTCCCATTGCATTTCTTCTGTGGATGTAAATCAAGTCTTCAAAAAGATGTAATAATTCCTTTGTCAGCACTCCAAAAATAGCAGGACTCTTGCTTTTAAAAAGAAATAATAATGAGCAGATGACTTCACAGATTTTATTGTGTAACATATGACAGGATGGAGTTGCTGCAATACGAAGAAGTCTTCTTATGATCCAACTACTAAAGTCTTTGAAATAAGCAAACAAAAAAGATATTATTAAATAAGTACACCAGAAATCCCAATTAACTTGCTAAATGCTTAATGATTTACTTTTAAAGTGTAAACTTCACTAACAAGGTAGTCTAAAACAGGAGTGTCAAACTCATTTTCACCAGGGGCCACATCAGCCTTGGGGTTGCCTTCAAAGGGTCGAATATAATTTAGGACTGTATAAATGTAACTACTCCTTAACAGTTAAGTGAGAGCTTGATGCTGCTGCTGGGTAGAAACAAGGTGCTGGGCCAGATAAAACAAGATGGAGGGCCTGATTCAGTCCTCGGGCCTTGTGTTTGCCACCTGTGACCTAAAACATTCATTATAAAATGGAAATATAGTAATTTAGAATACCAATTTTGGAGTCAAACAGACAAGGTCCTAGCTTTCCACTTTACTAGTTGTGTAAACTTTTCATTTATCTGAACCTCTAACTTCATCTATGAAAGGGGAATAATGACATCTACTTTATAGGTTACTGAGGATCAAGTAAGATATATGTGAAATTCTTAGCATAGTGCCTTAAGTTAAATAAACACTCAATAAATAGTAGTTATAATTATTATCACCCCTTCAACAAGTATTTATTGAGTGGTGACTTTGCCCAAGTACACAAATCAGTCATAGTCCTGTCCTCATAAATCCTATAATAATAGTTTCTAAAACTTTCTGACTAATGGTAAGAGGTATATTTTTATATCTTGACCCAGTACACAAAGGCATATTTATTTAAATGTATAAAACAAGTTTCATAAAATAGTATTTATTCTTATTATATGTAGTGTACTATAATACTTCCTAGTCTATTATATTTCATCTTCATAACCCACTAATGGGTCACAACCTATTTTTTAAAAAGTGTGTTTTATAATATAATTTAGAAACCACTCTGATAGAAAAGTATAGAACACCCTATTAACAGAACATTAAGAAGGAGCAATGAAGCCAGTCCCAAGTGCAGCAGTCGGCGATAGTGGCCAAAAAAGACTTTTTGAAGGACATGTTATCAAACCTCAGTCTTGAAATTCAACAAAAAATTGTAAAATACTCTATGCATTGTACATACATTACAAAAAATGTTTGCTTTACACCTCTTTAGGAAGAAGCCAATAAAAGGACAAGTAGTGGGAAAAATGAAGAGAAAGTCTAGGAAAAGAACTTCATCTAGAACAGGTATCAGCAAACTCATTCTTTTTTTTCCTTTTTATTCAATTTATTGGGATGACATTAGTTAATTATATAGGTTTCAGGTGCACAGTTCTATAATACATCATCTGTATATTGTTCTGTGTGTTCACCACCCAAAGTCTAGTCTCCTTCACTTATCCCCACATAGCTTCTTCTACCTCCCTTTCCCCCAGTAGTCATCAATCATACTGCTGTCTCTGTCTATGAGAGATTTGTGTGTGTGTGTGCATGTGTGTGCGTGTGACTGTGAGGCTGTGTGAAAAGGTAAAGTGATTAAGGAAAAAAAAAAAAACAGAACCTCATTCTTAAAGGACCAGATAGGTTCGAGGGCCCTGTGGTCTCCACGTCAACTACTCCATGTTGTTTTAGTAGTTGCAAACAATATGAGTAGGGCTATGTTACAATAAATATTTTTACATAAACAGAGAGCCAGCCTGTGAGCCACTGTTTGCTAATGCCTGATCTAGAAGAGATCACCAAAACCAGAAAAAAGAAAATAGCTGAAGTTTTCAATGGCAAATAAACAAATTTGATTATATCTCTCCCATTGTCAGTATCTAGTCCATAACAAAACAATTAGAATACATGAAATAAAACTAACCATAATTTGACTAAGATGTTTATTAATATATATATTATATTTCAGAGAGAAGAAAGTCGATTTCATAAAACAGGTTGCAAATGAATGTACAAATAAATAGCTGGACTTACCAATACAACTGCCTTTCGCCTCACTTTGCCCATGGCTTCCATTCACATTTACAAACATAAGTGGAGAGGACTTCATGATATGCTGGATGAAATCAAGCAACATCACAGAGGTTGGCTGAGAGTCAGTTTTCTTTATGAGTTCTAGAGCAACTAAAAAATACAAGATTCATTTTAAAGAGTTGTAACCAATTAAACAACAGTGTTTTGTTAAGAAACTAGATTTTGGTGACCATAATTATAGTGCTCATGCTAAATTGATGAAGCTAACCACTACAATCCTACCTTTCTAATTTTAAATGTTTAATAATCATGCTCATTCATCTATTACATATCCATTCACCAAATATATACTATACGCCTACAATATGCCTGGCATTGTGCTAAAATCCGAGAAAAAAAAAATGTCACAATCAGGTGAGGCAGACAAATAAACTAATAATCATAATACAATATGCTGATTACACTAATTCAGAGGGGAAGAAAAAAATGTATGGGACGATGCTGTGAAGGCCCTGATACCTAAATGATGAAGACTTTATAAACAAGAAGGACAGGCTAGTGGTATAAACAGGAGCACCATAGGAAAACACATCTAACAAGTATTCAGTAGTTCTTTGTTGTTTTTCAGCAACTCATAATTTTACTGATTGAAAAATGAAGGGTAAATAACTACCCCAAGTCATAAAACTTGTACCAAATGTGGAATCAAATCTATAAACCATGAGCCAAATAGTACTCTGTATTACCCCTTCAATGTAATTTTAACAGATATGACAGATACGACACCATTCCTAAGTTTGTAATTTGCCACAGATTGCCACAGATAGGAAATAAATAGTTGATTCAAAAACTTATAAAGTCACCAGTTGTTTATGGCATTTGCTGTTTCTCAACCACTGGCACAAGACCTGACTAAAGCAAAGTCCACCTCATTGGAACTGACCAAATACTTTTTATCTATAATAATACCTTATATCAAAATTCATAGTAAGCAGCAAAAAATCTAGATACCAAACAGGAAAACAGACTTCCTATAAAATTCTAATTCATATTATGTAATATAAATTGCTTGAAAATAGTAACCATCATAAATACCAATTCTATAAAATACAGAGAAAAATGCTTGTAAAATCTTAAGAAAACAACTTAATTTATAAAGTTTATATAAGAAATAATTATTTCTTACCAACATTTACATCTGTAAGTATTCGGTCAACAAACTGACATAGAATTTGTCTTGGCTTCTGTACAACTGTATTATATTCCTCTGGACTGGCACTAAAATACAAATAAGAAGTTTTTAACCCTTAAAGGAAGTCACAATTTCATTTGTAAAAAATTTTCTGAAGTTGAACTTATCAAATGTTTAATTTTAATGTTGACATTCATAATATTCTTCTGTTTAAAAATGAAATGAAAATCTAAAAATGTTACCAATTTACAACAAAATAAAACACATGCTAAATGACATCACAGGCATCCAATCTGTAAAATGTAAACTGCCCTGCCCAATATGTAGCCAGTAGCTACATGCAGTAGGTACTGAGCCCTTGAAATATTAGTCCAAAGTGAGATATACTATAAATATAAAATACACACTGGACTTTGAATATTTGGTACAAAAAAAAAAGTACATCTCATTAGTAACTTTATGTTAATTTCATGTTGAAATGTTATCTAGATACATTACTGAGTTAAATAAAACATTAAAAACTAGCTTCGCCTGTTTCCTTTTATTTTTTATAATGTGCTAACTAGAACATATGTGGCTTGCATTATATTTCTATTGAGCAGAGCTGAGCTATACTTTTACACTTTTAAAAATCTACAGAACACAGTTTCTTCAATAAATAAATTCAAAAAATAAAAGAGAAGAGGAGATCTATAACTAAGACACAAGAGCCATATCAACTAATTACAATGTATGATCCCAAGTTGGATTCTAATTCAAACATTTGAACATAGACTAGATATCTGATATGATTAAAAATTACTCTTAAGTGTGATAACAGTATTACAGTATGTTTTAAAAGTCTTTATCCTTTAGAGACAAATACCATTATTTACTGATAAAATGATGTCTGGAATTTGCTTCAAAGTAATTGAAGTTGAGAGGAAGAAGGCCACGAATTGATAATTATTGGGTGACGAGTACATAAGAAATCAATATAACATTTTCTCTTTTTTTGTATGTTTGAAATCATCACAAAAATTTAATAAAATGTTAAGAAAAAATATATATATTGCATCTTAGGACCAATAAAAAATAATAAAGAAGTGACATAATACTTAGGCAGAAGAATGGCACCCTAGAATACTGAATGAATTTAATTTAAACTTCATGACTTGGTGTAAATTACCATAGAATACAATATAAGATTATAGTAGTAAGTCTATGTTCCACAACATAGGATGAGTCATTCACATTATCAAAAAACATTTACTGAATACCTATTATGTACCAGGCAAAACATCAGAAGCTTCAGCTGGGAAGCTGAATAATATAGATTAGTGGGGGAAAGTGGTAAGTCAACCTGCCCCTCTACTTGGGGTGCACTGTAAGATCATCCACCAATAGTTAACACAGAAGGAAGTATAAATCTGGGGAGAGAAAGCCAGTTTTAGAAATACCGAACTTAAGGGTTTCAAGGGAACAATTAAGTGGAATGTTCAAAAGAATGTCAGAATTACATTTTTCCCTCAAAAAATATATCGCCTACAGATATATAAATACATTATCATTATACAATACCTACCAGACAAGGCTAAATATTATCTGTATTACTTTATTTTCACAAGCAATAAGATAGGAATATTAATCCTTAATTTGTATATGAAAAGACTGACATTCATAGAGACTATATAATCTGCCAGTACCAGAGCTAGTAGTAGTGGAAGTCTTAAATATGAATGCAAGTCTTAAGTAATAAGCCAAAGAGACATTCCTAAATTAAAGAAGCCATAAAAGGGAAAGGAAAGAGGTCCAGAAAAACAGAAAGAAAAACCATAAGAATGTTCTAGAAATCTAGGTAAGAATTTCAAGGACAGAAATATCAACAGAAGCAAATAAAATTAGTTTGGTAAATGTCCTTTGAATTTTATTATGGTAAAATATACTTAACATAATATTTACCATTTTAACCAGTTTTGAGTATACTGCTCTGTGGCATTAAGTACATTCACACTGTTCTACAACTATCGCCACCATACTTCTCCTGAGCTTTTTAGCCTTCCCAAACTGAACCTATATTCATTAAACAGTAACTCCCCATTTTCTCCTTCCCCCAGCCCCTGGCAACCACCATTCTATTAATTACTTTCTGTCTCTGTGAATTTGACTGTATCATATAACTTAAATTATATACGTCTCTCTGTGACTGATTTGACTTAGCATAATGTCCTCACAGGTTATCCATGTTGTAGTGTGTGCCAGAATTCCCTTCTTTTTTAAGGCTGAATAATATTCCACTGTATTATATACCTTATTTTGTACATTCATCTCTCCATAGACACTTGACTTGCTTCTAACTTTTGGCTAATGTGAATAATGCTCCAATGAGCATGGGTGTACAAATACATGTTCCAATCCCTTTCAGTTCTTTTGGGTGTATAACTAGAAGTAGAACTGGTAGATCATTTAGTGATTCTATGCTTAATTTTTTTAAAAACTCACATTCCAGCCCTGGCTAGCATAGCTCAGTGGATCGAGCGTGGGCTGCGAACCAGTGTCGCAGGTTTGATTCCCAGTCAGGGTACATGCCTGGGTTGCAGGCCATGACCCCCAGCAACCTCACATTATTGTTTCTCTCTCTCTATCTCCCTCCCTTCCCTCTCTAAAAATAAATAAGTAAAAATCTTAAAAAAAAAAACCTCACATTCCATTTTCCATGACTATACCATGCCACATCCCCACCAGCAATACACAGCGTTCCAATTTCTCCTATCCTCAACAACACTTGTTATTTTCTGCTTTTTAAATAATTAGCCATCCTCAGATGTATGAAGTGGTACCCCACTATGGTTTTGATTTGCATTTCTATTATGCTTAGTGATGTTGAATATCTTTTCATGTGCTTTGTGGCTATTTGTATTTCTTTATAGAAATGTCTATACAAGTTCTTTCCCCATTTTTAACTCAAGTTGCTTGGTTTTGTTGTTGAGTTATAGTTCTTAATATTTTCTGGCCCTGGCAGGTGTAGCTCAGTTGGTTGGGTGTTGTCCCGCAAAGCAAAAGGTCACTGGTTTGATGCCAGGTCATGGCACATGACCAGGTTGTGGGCTCTGCCCAAACAGGGCATATGAGAGAGGCAACCTATTGATGTTTCTCTCACACATCGATGCTTATCTCCCTCTCTTTCACCCTCTCTTCCCCTCTCTCTAAAAATAAATAAAATCTTTAAAAATATTTTTTTCTGAGCCCTGGCTGGCGTAGCTCAGTGGATTGAGCACGGTCTGCGAACCAAAGTGTCACAGGTTCAATTCCCAGTCAGGGTACATGCCTGGGTTGCAGGCCACAGCCCCCAGCAACCGCACATTGCTGTTTCTCTCTCTCTCCCTCCCTTCACTCTCTAAAAATAATAAATAAATAAAATCTTTAAAAAATATTTTTTTCTGGATATCTGATGTATCTTGATCAGATGTATGATTTACATTTTCTCTCATTCTGTATATTGTCTTTTCACTCTTGAGATTGTCCTTTGATGTACAAAAGTTTTTAATTTTGATAAAGTCTATTTTTTTCTTTTGTGCTGGGCTTTTGGTATCAAACCTAAAAATCATTGCCAAATCCAGTATCTTGAAGCTTCTCCCCATGTTCTCTACTAAGAATTTTATTTATAGTTTTAGGTCTTACATTTAGATCTTTGATTCATGTTGAATTTTTTTTAATGTCCTTTGGATTTTAAAGTCTTAGTATAGAGATGAAAGCAGAAGCCAGAATGCAAGTGGTTGAAGAGCTAAAGAAATCTGAACAGAGAATAGCATGCTCTTTCTAAAGCTTGACCATGAGCCCTGGCTGGCGTAGCTCAGTGGATTGAGCGCGGGCTGGGAACCAAAATGTCCCAGGTTCGATTCCCAGCCAGGGTACATGCCTGGGTTGCAGACCATAACCCCCAGCAACCGCACATTGATGTTTCTCTCTCTCTCTATCTCCCTCCCTTCCCTCTCTAAAAAATAAATAAATAAAATTAAAAAAAAAAAAAAGCTTGACCATGAAATGAACAATTGAGGTTAGTGGCAATTAAAACAATATAGGGGGTCAAAAGGGTTTGTTTTTTCCTCTTAAGACGGGAGAGACTTGAATAACTAATACTTGAGAGTTGGCTTTCCTTCTCAGGACCCTGTACAAATCCAGAGATAATCCTTGCACAGGATGGGTACCTCTTGCATTAATATAGGATGAAATGATGAGTACAGATGTTAATAAATTCAAAAGGCAAATAAAACAAGATAAGATCCCCTGGGGAAAAGGGAGGAATGCACACAAAGTAATTGTAATCAACAGCCATCTACACCCAGAGCAGGAAATAAAATAACTCTGCCTAGAGGGTTCACAGAAGGCTGTTTATAAATTATTAGCTCAGCCCACCACTTCCACTGACAAAACAACTGAGGATGGAGTAAGCTGGTTATTTATATATTTTGTATAAGCAGCAATATATAACTTCTATATCACTGTACAATGAACATATTTTCCCAGTTATTATCTTAGAGAATGCTAAAAGAAAAAAATATTGCTTTCTGGATATTTAACCACAAAGTCCAATCCTGACTGATTATATACAGGATCCATGATGTTTTGTGCTTCAGTGCTATGAAGTAACCGGTCCTGTCACATTGTAGATAGTCAAAAAGATATTTGTTGAATGAATAAATGGTTCATAAGAATCTTCCTTAACTGTGTGGTTGCTTGACCCTTAATGCATAACCTTTTGGACCTATAGAGTATTTGCTTATTCCCTGCTACCAGACCATAGAAGATTGCTTTCTTTCTCCATGTATCCCCTGCGGCACCTAGAACTATGTCTTAACAACAACAACAACACAACTACTAAGTTACTGAAATTAACCAATATTTACAAATAGTATAAACCTTAGGTATACAGAATCAAAGAACAAGTAGTTATAATTGTACATGAAAGTATACAAACTTGATGCTATATCATTATTTAAGCCAGCACTGGCCAACAGATATAAAATGCAAGCCACATGTGTAATCATAAATTTTTCTGTAGCCACATTAAGAAATATAAAAAGAAACAGAACCAGAGATGCTGAAA